AAAGCTTTTTATCTGTCGGTCAACCAAATGATACTGAACTCCGATTTGATTGCTGAACAATGCCACCAGGTCAGCTTGTTGTTAGGAGGTCTATGGGATTCGTAACTAGACCAATGAGCGTGGGCACAGAAAAGGCTGTACTAATCCTAAGAACACATTCTTGCTAGGTGACAACTGTTCGAACCTATACGGCACAAACAGGCAGATTTCGTTTCGCGCTGGAAGCCAGCCATCTGTCTGACGGAATGCCTAATAGCGATACCGAACGTAACATGAGGGTGACTATTATTAATACTAACTTGGGCTGTAGCAACGAGGGCGCAGTAGTTGCAATGTAATAACAAATTGTAACGCCAGGTAAATCTCAACGAGCGGTATGAATTGCAACACAGATGGCATCAAATAATTTGGGCGGCAAGGATTTGATTATACTTTCGTTTGGTTCAAGATTTCTTTCGATCAGTTCGACATGTACACTTGAACGTTGACTTCAGTAAATTAGCGTTTTCAAATAAAAGTTAGACAGTTATTCTACTGAATTGTTGGTAGAGAATGCAACAGTGAAAATCTGGATATTGATAAAAATGAAAACTGATTGCGCAATGAATTCATAAATTAGTTTTATAAATTGTTTATCACATCTACAGAGGATATACAGGACATTGAGGTAACAAAGAACCACAGCCGGGTTCATGACACTAAGAAACAGTTTGAACGTGTCGCCGCGTTTATTGTTATTTGAGTTATAACTATTGCTTGTAGAAAAAGAGGCTGTAATAAATGACAGAAAGGAGTTCGGGAGGACACACTCGGGTTGTTTATTCATTCAGGATAGTAGAATCTAAAGTATAAATATAAGACGTCTACAAAAAAGGTCTATAATGCACCTGACAGAGAATTGCAATGGATAATTTTATTATATATTTACATACATAAAGATTGTGGCAAGGCTAGAAAAAATAATGGGGCTGTCCGTGTTAAAACTACTAGATATAAAACGAATACTAACCTAAATAGTATACTGTTGTTGACTGACTAGACAAAGGAAGACAGACATACACAAATACACACCCACACACATATACAAAAACACATTTACATTCACACGTCCACACGCACACATATATATATATATACACACACCCATGCACACCCGAACATGTACACAGAGCAAACACCCTTTACACACACACCGACATCTACAACTGTTTTTAGCATTTTCGAAAAGTTGCTACTGATTATTAAAATTTTTATTTTAATTACACTACTAGCGGCTAAATTACGTCGACAATTTGAACATAGCTAAGCGGACAACTGGCAGAAAAAATTACAGGTGACCTATTTCAGAACACATAAAGACAGCTTCAATTGTTATTAGGCGTACAATCATTATTATTACTATTGAGCGTCTCTTGTTATAGCGTTTCGAGGTGACGAATCATCCAGAGAAAGAAAGAAGGCAAAGAAAATGAAGCACTCGATAAAGAAGTCCTAGAAGATACAAAATAAAAGGCTGTCCAGCTAAAAAAAGAGGAAACAAAGCTTCCAGAACAGAAAAGGCTAATGCTGATCGAATGAAATAGCATAAGTAAAAATTATACTTTGGTCTTCTTCTATTATAGAATATGGCAAATCTGTCTGGCTTTATTGTGATGATACCACTGTACTAATGAAAAGCATTGAAGTTAAATATACAGACGGCAGAGCAGCACATGAAACACTGAAAAGCAATTGATTGGTAACAATCGTCCGCTTGAACAGTGGTTTAAGAGAGCGGCACTGTCAATTCAAACGGTTAGGATAGGTGTCGCCGACGGTATGAAAAAAATTCAAAAAGGAAACAACGCATTGTGTTCTTTGAGGACACGACGACTGTGATTGCACTTGTGGCTTAGCGGGTAATCCAGTTTGATTACAACCTAAATTTTGGGTTGGGACACCCAACCTATCTGTTTGTTATTGTAGACAGAATATCAAATGGTGCAATAGATCAGATAAAAATAACTTGAATATGATTTTCGAAAGAGATAAACGCTGATCTTCAATAAACGTATGATAAGCAAAGATCGCCACAGAAACACGAAACATAAGGCATGGAGGAAAACATGAGGAAAAGATGCTCTCGTAAAAGCTTTTTCTCGGATCTCACGGAATATAACTAAAAAACAGCATAATAACAGTGAAACAACAGGATTGCACATGATTCAGGTGAAAACACTCAGAGAAACGTGACTGTATAAAATTAAATCGAAAAAGTACCGACGATAGAGTGGCAAGCAGTGGCGATGATCTGCGAAGCGAGGGGACACACATAATATAAAAGCATTGTATCAAATGGGATTAAATGAAGAGACAAAAAAAAAGCTAACACATTTATTAACGGCTTATAATTAAGACGATTACGATGGTGATGATTACACGGTGATATGAAACTCAGCAGATGCTTCGAACGCAGAGAACGTCCCTGATTTTGGGAAACGTTGGCTTGCTAATTCAACTACGGTGTCGTACACGAGCAGATATTGGAACAACAAGCAATTGCTGTTGTATGTAGGGGAACAGGGAAATTGGTAGTGATCTTTACAGCTGCAAAGGCATGATGCCGGGGGGAAACGGTATGGATATATCTTCAATGTATCGAGTAAAAGAAATTATTAAAGGCTATTATTGCTACTATCAAGTAAAGCGAAAAGAAAAACAAAATGCAAGCGGGGCAACGAAAAACGACCTCAGAATAAGCGTCATTAAAAAGAAACGCAAAGAATTGTACACTGAGGTACAGCAGTTCGGTCATGAAGGATTCAAATAATAGGCCAAGACGACTAAGGAAATGGTGAGGGTAATAATGAAGAGAGAGACTAAGATGAAAAAGCGAAAGAGCGATAAAGACCAGGTAAAAAAAAAAAAAAAGGCAAAGTCGAGTGCTGCATTCATCCATTGGACGAGAGTACTTTAAAATATATATCTACGCACGTAAAAATGATCTATTCTGTGTCTTAATTTGTTCGTGTAGGTAGTAAATCTATATTAGTTGATAAGTGAGATGCGGTAAGTCTGTCTGATTCAATACAAACACCGTTCTTAGATAAGTTAAGCTCATTAAGTGTTGGGATACTACCATTACAACTTAACTGAATATGAATGTAGAGCCGCTTGGAAGACTAAACATAACCCCCAAACCGGTACATAAATTATGGAAGTGTCTCAAATTTTCGCAGTGCTGTCATTGACGTTGTGCGGTAGAAATGGGAAGGATCTGTATGCACTCATTTCTTACTCGGTGTTGTTAGATTAGTCATAGTGTGTCTAAATAGCGTTAAATGTTTGCTTTCACATACAAAAATGAAGCTTCGCCGTCGGGAGAATCTTGTTCATTGAATAAGTTTCTCCTTCTGTAAAAGAAGAAAACAAAACATAATCTGGCGCGCTAAGCTGCGTTCTGTTTCCGCTGGTGTGGAAGAAACTCGATTTGTTTGTGGTGTGAAAAGTTGACAATTGTAAGTAATTTATTTGAAGTGAATGGATCAATCTGTAGATCGGATTTTTTAGATGAGTGGAGGACTAGATTGATCAATATAAAAGATAGCATTCAAATAGGTTCAATACGAGTGTCGACTTTTTTGTTCTAATAATAGGAGTTTGTTTGTTTTTAAAATGTGCATACTGCTATGAGGTCTGGCGGTCTCGTTCAAAGCAACGCATCAAGGTTCTTGGACATGCAGCGTCTGGATTGTTCGGTTCATGGCGCAAAAATTCAATAATACGGACAAAGAAGGCATAATCCAATATTTTATTTTTATATACGTATATGCTCACTATTGGTGACTGCTCTCGTTCATTTGTACAATAAATGATCAACCTGTATTATCGTCGAGCCAAAACGCTATTGTATTTATTGTTCGTGCATTTCTACAATACTGTATTTTTTTTTCGTGCAAAATGAATTATGTAACACTTAATATAAATATTGGAATTTAAATGTGTAATAGTGGTATGACTCAATAAAATATTTGGTCGGCTTAAGATTTATGTGCAATATAGAAATTTTGAGCTTATTTAAACTAGTGTTTTATGATAATGCAAATATGCGTGGGCATGGCGTGCGAATAATCCCAGGGACGAACTAACTACACCCTTCATCGATATCATTAAGCTTCAAGAAAAATGTGGAGAATTTGGTGTTTAATTTCAGTTCACATATATGCGTCATTAAGATTTCCACCGTGAACGGTATTAAGCCGAATTTATAAATAATAGTTTTCTCCTAAAATGGAGGAAACTTGAAATTCCATGCAGCGCAGCAGCTCATTTTCAAATTGTTCCCTAAAGCCAATCTGCCATTTTTTTTCGGCCGACGATTTTCTGATAATATCAATGTGTCGATAGAAATTTCTTTAATGTACAACGGCTAAACACAACAAAATAGCACAACAAAGTCACAGAAAGGAACATGTATTTTTGGCTATTTTCGATACTGTGATTTCAGCAAATATAGGCAATTGCCTGTGAAGTGCCCTATTCTCGTTCGTGTATATGCACTCAGTCAAGTCGCGTAATAATCGTCTTCAAATACGTGTTTTTAAAGGCAAATTTCTACTGTCAAAAATCTGTTTCTGCTTGTAGATGCGTACATCAAACATAAAAATCCTAAAATGCCAATTGTGTAATGCGCGTTATGCCTTCAGATCTGTATATGCATTAAACCAATTATGTCATAGTGTGGACAATCAAATAGTCATAATGAAATGGTTTAGAAGCTCGTCTATGAGCGTTATTAAACCTAAAGCTACGAAAAACTACCACTTCATAATTATGAAAAAGGATTAAAGGTCGCTACATTATTATTGGCTATCATTCTCCTAGGTATACAAATAAGGAATTCACCAGGTTACCATATTTTTATGGGAACGGAACGTAAACGTTTTTTTCACAGAACATATTGCTTTCCTCCGTACTATAGATCATATTCACAGTCTGAATTCTTTTGTTTTGATTTTCAGGGTGGTCCGAAGCGTGGAGGCGGGGGAGGAGGAGGCCGTGGTGGGCAAAAGTGCTTTGCTTGCGGCCGAATGGGCCACATTTCCCGTGAATGTCCCCACGGTCGACGCTGCTACATATGTGGACAAAGCGGTCATATCTCAAGAGACTGTCAAAGCGACAACGGTCAGCCAGATGTATGTTACCGGTAAGAAAGTTAGATGCATGCTAGGTACAATGGGGCATCAGCAACCGGCATAAAATCGTCTGCTCATGTAACAATAGAACAAGGAGAGACTTTACTAACTTTTTCCAATGTATGTAGTTTGGATGAAGTGCTTAAGACAAGTAAAGGCGATTCACTAGAGCCGTAGCGTATTCCATAACAATGAACAGGTTTTTGCCAAAGTGACCGCAGTCACTCAGCCGATTAGCTGACCCTATTCACACCCCGTTTATATGTATGTTATATTTCACTTGGTATTACATGTTACCTTACATTGTAACAAAACGCAGTGACCTAAGCCAGCAGTTAGTCAAAAATTGACTAGTTAACCAAATGTTAATTTGTGATTGAATAATGTAATGATGTTGAACGGATGGATATGCAGGTGTAATGAGCGAGGCCACATCGCGCGCCATTGCAGCCGACGGTCGCCAGGGCTTGGCGTAGGAAGTGGCCCTGGACCTCGTGGGGATCGCGGTGGATCAGCCGATCGAGGCATTGGCGGTACGGGTGGAGTCAGCTGTTGTTACCAGTGCGGCGGGGCAGGGCATCTAGCCAGAGATTGCCCCCAGGGACCTCATGCGTCCCCACCACCACACATCGCCCAGGCTCAACAACACCATAACAGCCACCTTGACGAACATCATCTCGATAACTAGATGACTAGATAGTACAGAAGAATCCCTTACAGCTTTATGAGAGACAGCCAGATACACTCGCCCAGGAGCGGTCATGAGAACGATGTTATCCATTCACGTCCCTTTCCAAAAAGGCCGGTGCACATTTTCCCAGTAAAGTAGAATCACCCAACGAACAACAACGCGTTAGAGACAATGGTTTCTAGGGATTGCGCCTTTACTTCGCACCGGAAGGCTGGTCCGTCGAATTCGTAAAACTCTCACTACTCCACACGATACTATTCCAACCGACACATGGTAACTTGGAGATGTATGATGATGCTGACATCAATACCATGCAAAAAACGGGGTACGAGGCAAATGGAGATTTGTTGCCAACAATGATGCGTCTAAAAAAGAATAGGATACATGGATTTACCGAGTTACACGATACTTGATTGCAAGATATCCAATCAGATGTGATGAAAAGCAGATAGTGAGCGACATAACGGCAACCTTTCTCCTGTCCTGCGCGGCCATATTTGACCCCAGTCGCTTAAACAAATCGGCTAATGGACTTGACAGAACTTTTGGGAAACTTAAATCGAAATTGGCAGGTTTACTAAACACAACAAACCAAAGCATACACTAAATATTCAGTTAGTGCTGCCATCCAAATGGGGTTCGCGGTTTTCCTGGGTTCCTGAAGTTAGTGGAAAAGCATACGCATTAAGCTGGCGTTTCTATCGATCATCATGCGCACAGTTGTAGCTTGCTCTGTATTTGGTGATCGCCACAGAAAAAGCTTGCAGACTGAAATCTTTGTTAACTGAGACCTAAGATATGATGCATCTCAGAAAAAAAACGCAAATCAAAGAAAGAGAAGTCAAAAATGGAGACGTAAAACGATTGAGGATGCAGTCAGTAGATAAATATGTTGTTAACGACAATCTAGCCGGGATGGTCGTTGCTCGCACGAACGAAAAGTATTTGACAATGAGATGGTGACCTAAACAAGTGGTAAGGAAGGTACTAGACAGTTCATAGTAGAATATATAGAAAAAAGCGGTTCTTCAGAGGTGGTACATGTAAAAGGTCTTCACAAGTTTTTTCACCAGTAAGTACACAAATCAGTCGGAATGAAACTTAGATCCGACTGAAGAAAATGGATCCCCACCTATCAGATGTCCTCCGGGTCTAGAAATATAGTTATCCTACACGGCAGATCAGTTAGTTGACAATAATGATTGATATATTAATATGGGTTGAAGATCTAAAGGTTTAGGACTGAAAAAGGCAATTGTTCGACGGTCCACGAATCGTCACACATAGGCTCCTGTCAATTCTGTGCTTGTTATTGGTTGGAATAATGCCTCGTTGATTTATGACTGAATATTAGTGGTATTTCCACACAGTGTAGGCAGCAACTTTAATTAGAATTGAATGGAGAGCGTTTCGTAAGGAGCGACACGTGTAATTCGTGGTGATGTTGTCACTGCATCTGATTTCAACCTCCCTGGCGGCTTTCGCACAACGTTTTCACGTGGCTTTCAACTGTAATGATAGAAGGTTCGTTCATTCATTATGTGTGCCCAAGTAACGTGCCCCTCACAATGACCGTAACTTTTGTGTAGTACATGCTTCAGTGTATACAAATATAGACAGAAAAGTCAAACTGCGTAAGCCAATTCGCCTTTCATTGAGTAATGCGGGAAAGTATATGCTACTAAGTTGTGATATTTTACGTTCATACTTAGCAACGAAATTTCAATACAACAATTTTTCTTTAATATATAATGGGCGTCCTCTAATTCTCAATGATTGTCGTGCGTGAAGCATAACGTCTCGGTATGACACGACTGGTAAATTCGAAAATGCCGCTCGAAAGCAAATTCGAAGTACCGCTACTGTCCTTAATCATCTCGCTAACGTCGTAATATTCACTTACTCAATGGGGCTTCGATTGGAAAATACGATGTTTTAACACGTTTTGCATTTTCAATCTCATTTAGGGCATTATTAGAACGATATTGTGGGAATTCGTTAAAAAAAATTGCAACTTTCCGATGTAATAAACAAATCCAAATTCAAGTTTTTATTTGTTTTTACCAGAAATTAAACGTTTAACGTTCAGCCACCCTTTATTAGATAATTGTATTTTGTTTCCAGATTCTTTAATTTATCACGGCATACGAATATAAAGATTAAATTCATTCTAGGAGCACATATATATATATATATATATATATATATATAGTTAAGGTGACCTATTTTTCGAAGTTAGTCAAAACACTTCCGACTTGAAATGTCAGTTGAATTTATTCATATTTGAAATTATAATGGTGGTGCTTGATGAGTTTTTTCTTTAGTGTCAATTCTTGTATATCACTGATTAATTAAAGCACACCCAATGGTAGTCAATGTTGTTATTGTTGTTAGGTACAGAAATGAAAAATAGGAAAATGTATAACCTTTTCACGAGAGATCTACTATTCATAGTATTAACAAAATAATGAGAGAACATGACGATGGCTATAACATCGTATTACTAATGCTAATACATCGTAATACCAAGTGGCGAAGCATTAAATGAGGCGCCAACTCTGAGTGATACCGAGAAGCCGGCTCTGTTGTACAGACGTAAACTCTCAGAAATTGAAAATTATTATTGCATAAAACGACTATGTAGCATTGATATATATATACGCGCGTATTAGCCGTAGAGATTTACTAGTCGACATATATATATTAAGAGAATATACTGTTCGAGAAAGTCGTTCGAAACCCTTCACGCCAATTACAGGCACATGATTTACAGTGAAAATTTAGAACAAATTTTTTGAGCGACACGATGCGGTATATGGATGTACTTATATAAAAATATATATAGGGTGTTCGGAATCAATTGGGACAAATCTTGGCGGGCTCTTTGCTGTATCGGGAATTTTTATGCAGAATATAAGTTTTATTATGTCGGAAGAAAAATACTATTTGAGTGAATATGATAGCTATTGTCCGCGTTGGACGAAACCTCCTGGGTTGACCGAAATGAAAGTTGTTGCAAAATTCGGTAGAGAAGATTTTTGTATAACCAAACAAAGATTAACACTAAGAATTCGATTGGAGAAGCTCGAAAGTTATTCAAAAAGGTACAAAGAAGCTGAACATCAATGTCAAAATTAGCTTCTCCTTGCAAGAGCGGAGTATGTCGCCATTTTGCTTGTCTAGATTATTCTAAATAGTGAAGCATTTTTAGACCTTTTGGTTCCTTGGACCTAATATAAACGATTTCTTGTGTTTGACGTGTCTGAGCGAAACTTCAACGACTCTGTGCATACTAATGTAACTCTACTCAGGGTTACTGGTTCATGCGCGAATTTCTAAAAGAGAGTTTTAAAAGTGACCTATAGGCGGTTTAGGGCCCGAATTGAAGCCGTGATCAAAGGAATGGCAGTTGAACATTAAATAAAGACGTCCTTAAAAGATCTAAATGTCGGTGCATGTAAGGAATCAGTCCATTTATCTATTTTTATTCAGATTTATATATGGAACTCTTAAACACGCAACAGATTTTATTCCTGTTTATTCTAAACACCCTATGTACATATATATATATATATATATATATATATATATATATATATATATATATATATATATATTGTTGTTATTAACTTAAGACATACATTATATTATTATAATATATATATATATTATATGAGTGTTGTCGATATCCATGTTAAATGCAGAGTATAAATACTAAAAAAACAGCTGTATTGATACAGCTTATTGATTATGGTACCTCGATATAAAGATACACTCACATACCTATATACACACGCTAAGCTATGCGATAATGTTATAAATGCATTAGAAGTTGACTACAAATTCATATAATAACGATGATTTTCAGAACATTGGTTGGTTTTATTTAGTGCACACACATGTGAGCATGAACTGGGCAGCCACACGAATTTTATTACATCATCAAGATAAAATCCGGGTTTAAATCCAGAAGACTGTCTTACACAATCTCTTCCAAGAGTAAAAAGCTACTTAGCGTAACACCTAAATGAGGCACGTGTCAGTCGGGAATTATTTCGAAACTGCATCCGTTAAAAATGGAAACGGGAATTTAATAAAAGTAAGCACAGGAGAATCATTATTATTACTAAATATTGATGAATGTGTATTATTGTGACATTGTTGATGACCGTTGCAAACGGCGACAGTTGTTTAAACCCGCTTAATCATAAATATTAATCGTTACATGATGAATGTCCGTTCGAGGGGCTGTGGATTCACCGCCGGGATCAATGACGTCAACAGCAACAAAATGCCAATGATTAACAGTGAGCCAGACGACGAGAGTTGGCTTTTCAGTACCGCAAATTCACGCGATTTTTCCATTTGGCAAAATATATTCAAAGATAAAATGATGCTTTTTGTACTTAATAAAACTAGCTAGACTTCACGAAACGGCGTGATCAGAACGAGTAACCACATCATACTCCTATAAAAGACAACTAGCCATTATTCAAAATAGGCTAGATCGAAAAAAGGTAAATAAGCACTGTTCTCGGCTAGTACCTATTGACTAATGTCACTGTGGATAAATAGGTTGCAAGCCATGATAGATAATGAGCCAGCATTCAAATACAACAATACAATAACTAAAATATTAAATGCATATGATTATCCATATTGTTTTATAGGAATGACATATATAGACAAACAGTTATTGTAAACGGACTGTACGAATCTCGTATTAGTTGTTTAGGAAAAACCAGATTGCCATCTTTTTGAATGTACGCATCACACCTATTTAAGGGATTATAAGTTATAAAATGATTACAGGGATTCATAACCTATAATCGAAATGCGAATTTTTCATGGCCATCACGTCCTATGTAACTTACGTAGATTCAGAACGAATGAGTAATGTAAATTAATTTGTCTAGTGTCTTTTTTTTATAGATGCTTAATATAAATTGTAAGTCGCACATCTGAAGCAAACAAGAATTACATTACGAAGCAAAACTGTGAGATCAAGGACGAAAGCGTACGTAGATCTCGCATTGCTATGTTATTCTAAATTTTTAACTTTTTCAATATTGAGTAAATATCCGATAAAAAAGGAAAACATTTGAAACTATTCCCATACGACCCTAAAAAACAACAAAAATTGTGTTATTAACACAAAAACATAGGAAAGACACTTAAAGAAATTATATGTAACAGACATATTTGGTTTGACCAGCAATAAGAGCTTTCAATGCTACAGTGAATACTCCCTCAGTTGCCACGTATAACACGCGGTAACTGTGCGACCGCAGTATAGCACTCGATATTTTTGCCTAACTGTCCCTACAGGACCATCGTTCTGAATATCATTAATAGAAAAAAAAATATTAAACGGACTTAACTATATAAAAGTAGTACACAAAGTTTGTCAGTAGCTGGACTAGGTTCTATGTTTAACTAAATAGCTCCTCGCCATCATGGAGGTGGGACACTTTGCCGTCAGCAATCTGCATTTCGTTGTCGAGTTTGAGTGTATTTAACCTAAATCTAAGCATGAAGTGGGGGGTAAATTCACGTCGCTGGTATCGCAAATAGAAGAAGTAAATAATTCGGCGGGCGAAAATTCGTTAAGGACACGAATAAACAAAGAAGAAAATATATAGCATGGTAAAGAACTCATGACCGAATGTGGCAATGTAGTGTTCCAACAAACACCGATTGTTACCGATCATCATTGTCATTCACGAACTAAAAAGGAGAAGCGAGAATCTCTACTAAGAATCCGTATATAACTTCGAAACTCACTCATTAATGACTTCTGGGACAGCGTAAGCTTGATAATGAAAAGAAAATCCACTTGTCCCATAACAAGGGACCACAAGACTATATAAATTGTATAACTAAATAGAATAGCTAGGGTTTTGTAGGCAGCAAGCAACATTTAGCTATGATGCAATTACAGATCACAAAGAGTTTTCTTTATGAATGCAGAATTAATAGTATGCATCTATAAAAAAAGCCGACATTCTTTGAGTAACGGTCTTAGTAAAGTGAAACAGTAAACGTTAGTGTAGAATTCGGAGGATATCTCTCCGTCTAATAGGTCTAAACTCCGAATTGTTGTTTAGGCAAAAAAAGGATTGCTTGCAAAGTACGACAGCCGGCAAGTTTAATGTCTTTATTCACCTGCGTATATGAGTTTCATCATTATTTTTATGATTATTACTGCAATGTGAACGGGGCAAGCTACCTCTGAGAAGAACTGCTTCGCAGGTATCCGCCCAAACGTGCTCTTTACGTGCATGACCGAATCTATCCAGATGGGTCTGTGAGCGTTTGCGCGAAAGCAGGCAAATAAAGTGGAGGAAAAATACAGAGATAAAATTGTCACTTGATCTTTAAGCTGCTAACACTGCTACAAATAATAAGAGCATTCAAGCATAGGTCCTGAGGCTTGCACTTGATGATTAATTCAGTGCTTTCAGCAGCATTTTCGCGCTGTTACGCCACCAACGACTTTCCATCAAATCGCATTACGATTCATTATTCTAGAGTACTATTATCAACAGTTGCTTGTTCGCTGGAGAGATAGCATTTTCCAACAGCTGTTTGTTTATCCTATAAGTTTCATGGAACTATCAGTCTTAACTACACCCAATGCCGATCCTGTGCACCGCACTTCATTAGCGATTTAGGAGTAACTGAATCGTATCGATTTGTTTTCGTTAAATATTTCTAATAATAGAATGATAAGGGGACACGAGAAGGTGTTGGTTGTCAACAAATAGCTTGCGTCAAAGAGAGAGCAAAAGAAAGAATCATAGAAAAAAACAAAGCAGGAGCCGTAATTTCACTGAATACTCTTATGATGAAGTAATGATTATCACTAATTATTATATACCTAACGATTGGTAATGAGACAGCGGAGGGCAGTTATTAATGAAAATGAGATGTTGGGTCGTGTTTACAATGATTGACGAGATTATACTTATTACAATTATTAAGTGCACTAATAGTAAATGGATTATAATAGATGAAGCTTTAATTACACAGAGCTTTGAAGACTGGATGTAAGATGAAGCGCTATGTCAGGCATCGAGGTACACAACACATGAAACACACTATGAAGACGGAAAGCGTTTCCTGTGATGCCTTCGTCTAATCGTTCATATGATGACAGCCTTAACGCCACACCGTAAACAACAGCTGAGGATCACTGGAAGCTACCGGGAAAGGGAAAGAGAAAAAGAATGACTTCAAAGTGTTTGGACATAATCGACGCCGGTGGCGGATTGAGAGAACAGAAAAGGAAACAGATCAGTAAAACTAATAACAATAATAATAATAACAACAACAAAATGACATAATTTGGTAATTACAACGGCCTGTGTTTTCATTGAAAAGGTTAGATTTTAGGACCATTACTACTCGTATTATCAATATTATTAGAACTGGATAATGATTTTTATATCAATACTAAAGAAACTGACGCCGATAATGTGTATATTTCGTATTAATCGCGTAGAAATGCTTCCTTAATAACAAAAAACTGTATTCAGATTGTGTGTGAATATTCAGCGACACACAAACTTATACCAGACTTAGGGTAAGAAATCAACTTTCAAATTGGACAGACAAACCATCTATGCTATAATTTTACTGAGTAGAATCATAACGTCAAGTAAGGATTAAAAAGTAAACTATAATAACGACAATAAAAAAATTAATGTTGCTAGCGTACTTGAACCATCTCTTTACTACGTCTATTTTATTTTTTGGTCCGTAAATTTTCTTTTTATTTTTGCAGACTTTTTCAAAACATAAACCTACTTGTATTGATATGTTTATAGCTAGTAAAAATCTAAAATTTAGAGTTACTTACATTGCTAGCTAAACTAATAATTTTCACAAGTTTTTTTTTATCAGTATTTGAAATGATAATTATTATATACATGTGTGCACCAAGTTTCCTTTCTTCATTCCATTTAGGTGACCACGAGAGGTGACATTGAATTTGCACACTTCTAAGCTAATCAACTTCAACTATAGGATATTTCATTTCCACCGGTTTCGTATTTGGCTTTATATGGTTTGAAATTTACCTGATGGAGCCTTTTATTTACTAGCGCTGTTATTCACAAGTGATAATTACGACAAGTTTTTCAAGGACGTGCGTCAAAGTTGTTTCTCTATTCTTAAGGGGCATTTCAGGTGAAAATCGTGGATCCAAGCAAACTTCGGAGTATAATTTGTCTAACAATTTCTATAAGTAGGTTGATTCAAGTTAGTCTCAAAAGTCTCTAAATTCTAAGACTCTAGTGAGATTTTTCTGAAAAATTTCAAATTCATCACAAGGTGTTCTCGCATAGTTAAAAGCCCATTAATTTCTAAGAACGCCATTTATATATTATGTGTTGTGACCCCCATCAAATTTCGCTCACTAGTTGTTTACTTAAAGTTTATAGAAATATAGAACTCGATTCACTGATATACAATAAAGGTAACTCATTATGAATAAACACAACGTAAGAGTTGAATATTTATACTTGCATTTGGTGTATTTTACCGGTACATATTTAATACACGTGTATGCCTTATGTTAGCAAGCTATTCGAATATAACTACCGACATAAATAAAACCCCATCATATTTCATATCAAATATTCAAAATCAAGCATTCAGTGCTTCTTTTTATCGTTTAAGGCAAAGAATAATTCCACGATGTAATTGTTAAAACCTTGGATTCTGAATTCAACCATTCGAATTTAAATGTCGTTAGAACCTACGTTATGCGATACGTTAGACGAGTCATCGAATGCTGTCGTGAGATTTGTTGCATAAAATGATTGACGCTTTATTTCCAATTAAATTTTTTCACAACGATATAAAAGCTTTTAATATTAGCTGATTAGGAATTGTAGTATCGATAGTTACATGGCTTTCTTGGCTTAGTAGTCATACGCTTCTTGAAAAATAGCAGCCTATTCCTAAAAGTTTAATTGAATGTTATGCTAAACACCGTAGCTGAATTTAATAAGGCTCTATAATTTCTCTTGGTTAATTAAACCTAAAGCTTCCTTAACTAAGCCTATAACCTTACTCAATGCTATTCACGGCGTATTTTCTGTTAATGTTAAAATTGTAAAAAAGATCTGAGCAAAGATTGCATTTTGAATGATTTAGCTAAAAAAGGTTCCATGTAAGATGTAAATTTTGATTCGCCAACACTGTTGGCACATGACACTTAGTTAACCATTGCTAGTTGAGATAGAATCCGTGACAACTTGTACCATAAAATTGACTCCAATCAATTCGCAGTGTCTGTGGTTCAAGCAATAACTATTTTTACTTTGTCGACACACATGATATTACCTTTCGTGCTTGCAGTGTCGAAGTTCTATTCAGGAAAATATATGTAACCAGAGAAATTAAGTTAGTAATCACTATACTGTATCAATTAATTTTTTTTGCTCTATCTGCATACTGAACCGTTCCCCCTCTCTTGCATTCCTTGTTGGATAACACAATGTGGAATCATATAAGGGCTCGCCAGTATAATATAAATCGTCTTGTTAGCTCACATAAGCCTAGTATTCGTAAGTGTCAGAGAAACAGTCGCACATTGTCGAGCGTAACTGTATCCCGAAAAATTTCCGTTTTTTCTATTTTGTGGGCCGATTTCAAATTTTGGCGCCATTAGCTCGTGTCAGCGCATGCGTTCATGCAGTTGCCGGCTCGGCGTTGACGTGTCCATTTGTTCCATGATTCCATAGGACGTGGTTTAGCTCCACAGCTCCAGATCATCTATATCCTCTCTGTTCTCGTTCAATCGTTGAACAGTGATCGTCGTCACTTAAAGCGTCAGACGTACCCGACAAGGCACACACGGTGGGATTCCTTTATTGTTTCATTGCTGTCGATAATCGTTAATATTGTTTATGATTTTTTCTCTTGGCAACTGACAGATTTCGTGCGTATCCGCCCATAACATTATGTTATAGTTCTATGTAGACGAGTACTGAGCGAGCCAAAGCTACAAGTGTAATCGACGCCGGTGACATGGACACAAACTTAGGCGAGCCATCGCCTTCTAGTAAATGTTGCGTGGGAAGGAGAGACGTCTGTTTGTAGTGGACTCGTTTTCCGAGTGGCAATGAGTTCGTGGCAGGTGGCTTGAAATCATAATAACAATCTTATGAGGTTCCATATGGGTAGTTTTTATGTCGTTACTCTTACGTAGACTGCCGCAGAGCTGTTCCATTTTGGAAATTGCTAGAGCGAAGCATTGTCACTGCAGTTTCTCTGCCGGGCTTCTTTAACCGGACAGCTTAACCGTACAGTTAATCATAATCCGATACGAACTCTGTGAGATTAAAGATTACGTAGTCGTACTGCCGACATTGTTCGAATAATATAACGAAATCTTAATAGCAGTAATATTTTTATAAGATATCTCTGCCGCATAATACGGTAAAGCTATTAGTTTTTATCAAATAAGTGCTATAAACAGATAGTGAGTGTGAATTAGCTTAAATAGTGACGTCACCTGGAATTGTCTTTATGATTGCTTATGGATGAATTAGAGGATGTCTTACTTCCAAATGTACTGTGTTTGTAAATTTACGTATGTTTAGTCTTGTTAATTTATTCTACAACAAAGTGTGAAGTCGTTGGCTTGGCGTATTGCTTCATTACAAAATTTAGCTCAGTTGAGATTACCGCTTAGCCACTTTACAAAGTCCCCAAAGACTCTGTTTAGACTTAAACACATGGTTATGTAATACGCGAGGCCAACGTTACTCGGTTAATTAATAAATCAAATAGAAAAGATGGTAAATAAATACGTGGGAAAGGTTATTAAATATTACGGGTTGTAAAATAGAAATGTATCGGTAATAACGGTATATGTATATATCCCCTGCTTAATCTGATTAGATGGTCGCCACTCCCCGAATGCGAGCAGCTTCAGAGAAGCATGCAAAAAACATCACGCAGCGCGGAAACGTGCAAAAATCGACGAAACAGAATGAAGATCGACCACCCGTTGGCCCCTGGCTCTTAGCGTTGTTTTTGTTCGTTGTTTGTGGATCCGCCATTTTCCAGATCATCCAGAGTATTCGGGCCGGTTTCTAGGAAATTTGTTATAGTTCTAACGACGACAGATCAATTTGAAATTCCCATCAGCCCGCACAGAGCAAATTGTGAGTACTTAAATCAACAAGCTATTGAAAAAAATTACTTTGTGACTCTCTGTGATGTACGATGTGACTCTATATATGCCAGTATATGTATCTTTAAAGTTGAATTAGGAACTAACGCGTCGTTCTAATGAACATGTGAAGTTATCATGTGAATAAACATGTAGATTTATATGGCTAAGATGAACGTTCTAAGCCATACTTCGATTAGTCTGCATACGTGTACAATTATCGAATTTTTAGTTTATGTACCAAAAATATACGACCGAAATACATATAAATGTTGCTATAAGTTCTCGTCTTTTGCAATATCTAACACTTGTTCTATTGCGTTTTCTGCGTTTCGCAGGTAAAAAAAAGCAGTGAAAATATAAAATTATCACTTTGTGGCCAAGCAGCTCAAAGACCTGATGATACCCGCGTTATTTTTATTACCAGAGGAGCATTGCCAAAATAATATTAATGATGGTAGCTACACACTATTTCTGGCCTATCCACCGCTGGGTAGATATGAAGTTGAATTAACACCAATTTAAGGGGGGCTCACCGCAACCGATGTATTCACATCGACATTAAATTGACAGAAACGTGGACTAGCATTAAAAAACGAGGGCGACGATTGAAATTGGTTCCTGAAAACACCAGTACAGTGAGAGGTGAGTTAAGGTCTTCGACAGTCTCAAAACCTCGAGTGTTTTTCGCTAGGAGCATGAATCTTGACGACTCATCCCAAAACCTTGATCGGTAATTTACTGATCGGGATTCCAATCTATGTAAATGTATACTAAGTATCGTAATATAGCGCTCGTTTTGTTCATTTTATATACATATTAAACAATATTAATATAATTATGGAACGTGTTTGCGATATTAGTAACTGTACGTGTAATATTATGAAAAAAAAAATAAAATGTAAGATGAAAAGTTGACGACGTATGTTCGTAGAAACTAATGTCTGCGGTTTTGTTACGGTTTTGTAGTGACGTGCTAGCGTGAGCAGCAGTTATCACCTTACATATAGGCTTCTTTCAATTTTCTGCAGAGCATTCTTTAATGGCTGGTAGTCAATCCTTGATGTGCCTCGCCTCATAAACAAAGTAGGCTTACGCGCAGCAGCTCGCGCATATCCATATTCGAAACATATGCTAAAGTAACCAAACTTGTTTTTTTAGAATAGTTTACACTTGGCGGATTATTTTTGAGGCTTAAGTAATCCGTGTGGACATTTCCTTACGGGTTCTTTTTTATAGGAGAATATAGGTCCGTAAATATAGAAATACGTAGCTAGAGAGTAATGGCGCATGGTCAAGAAGCTTCGCTTTACGAGTTTCCGGTCCATATATAATAGGCTAATATGCTCCATTTAATTTTCTCCGACCAGAGTGAAAACCATATTTGCTTCCAAGGTTCATATGTCTGCTGCTGCGAATCTATATTGCGAACCCACACAAAACACAAATTATGATTGAATGCAAAAATATATGGCCTTAAAGTAGCATATTCTTGTAGGACTCAGTTGTCACTAAAATATTTTTGTGGCTTTGGTGTTTGCGTGAAATGTGACATCTAAGGCACGTGTTTACATTCAAAAAGTAAGACTTAACAAGAGAAAGCTCCGTTTAGTAAAATGCGAATTTAAAAGTTAGCGGAGACGTTGCTTATATTAATTAACAAATAAAGAATGCAGCAACATCTCCATTCTGATTCTTTAGCTAAGTAGCAGTTTTGCCGTTTCTTCTTGGAATCAACGTAGCTGAAAAGGTTAGCAAAAACTGTATGCTAGGCTTATCGGTGAACGACGGAAATTTATATTGTCGGAAACAGTCTAAAGTACTCTAAAATAATAATAACAAAAGGCTCTGCGATAAACTTTTCATACGATACTCTTCGATTATGTAACTTTTTTCTAGGAGTAGGGTTACTGAAATAGGGGAACAGGATGTATACAGCAGAATATCGAAATTAGAACAGAGATATAATGGAAAGTGTGAAATAACTGTAAAAGGGTATAACCTGTCGTCTTATGCACTGTCGGACGTTAGCATTCAATATGCAAAAAGAGAAATATTCATTTAGGTTCATATTAAAAATATTAAAGCTAGGCTTAGTTGAAAGTTATTAAGTATGGTAAATTAACGAATTAATTGCAACGTAGTAATGAGGTTCATTCGTTCCAGCAAGGTCAACAGCCATTACGGGAACAGGGTACGAGAATGCAATTACAGTATTGAAAAATTGTCATTGAACAGATACAGCGGGGTCTCAGAAAAACAAGAACTGGGCGCCTGTGGAAGTGTTAGTATACATTCGAGTAATATGCTAAGTTGGGCGGGACATAAATATCAGAAGAAGCTGACGAAATACATGAGGCTATAAATCCATGCCATATAATACATCCATATGGCAGCAGGACTATTGGAATATTCCAACGGAAAGAAGAACGGCTCACGCGGAGCAGAGTAATTACAGCGTAATGGACGTTCTTGCATTACTGTTAGGAAATAGCGAAACCGACGCTGCAAAGCTTCGGGAGACGAGACGGGTTATTGTTGGTCTATGGTCGAGAGATAGCTCGTCCGGTACCAGACAAATTTGTGCATATTAAACTAAGTCGACAAATAACTACAAAGTGTAACGGGCTAGGCAGGATTAGAAAATTGCAGTGGGATAACTGTTGATATATGCCGTAGCTTACGTTAGGTTGAATGTAATATCAATAAATTACATTAGGTAAATCAATAACAAAACAGGCGCGAGGCGAAGCTCGCGAGTCCATTTACTAGTCTATGCTACTAGAAGTCGCAAGTTCGTGGTTATACCCTTTTTGAAATGGCGCACAGCTACTTGATGCTACCTCTATCACAGTTAATCTTTTATCTATGCAAAGATAAAGTAGAACGTGTTTAAAAAGGATGGAGCAAAGCCCGCACGTATCCCTTTTGTCAGAACAGCCTAATATCGTAATTGTGTGGCTCTTACCGTACATCTAATATCATATCAGTTTACCTAGATAACATTAGAGAGAAAATGCGTTCTGAGCTGCTTTCGCGCTTTCGAGTGTCTTTTTTTTAACGAACTGCTAATAACTGTCAAGCGATAGGTTGAAACGGCTAATGCCAAACTAATTAGACAGAAAATGTTCTCTTTTTATTTCTACTTATTTTCAGAGCAAAACACTCAAATATTGAAAAACATGTATAAATATTTATTATTGACGAATATAAAGCGATAAACAGAATCCTCAAGCTTTAGTGACACGGAATTCATATACTGACGGAGACTAAATATTTGTGTCTTTCTTTAACGTAATTCATGTAACTTTATAAATAAAATGATGAAAAACGCTTTTCAAACTTAGGTAAACATGCAACAAAATTAATCCTCATTTGATTTAGTATATGCAAATGTTTTTACAAAACATTTGCAAACAAAATTAAAAAACCCTCAAGCTTCGGTAACGTCCGGAATTAGCAGACTAGTCGACTCTAAACATCGCAGTGCTCATTAAGAGTCACATGCGTTCAACGGTTCGTGCACGTCCGTTAGATATCAGCCAACAACTGGTCTTATTCATTTGTATTTTGAAAACAGCCATCTAAATTAAATCAGCCATTTAAATGAAGTTTAAGAGCCGTTTAATCATTAAAAACATCTTAATCACGTTGTAGGAATGTACGAAAAATCGACGTATCACGAGCGAGACAAATATATAGGCGACTGAGCGCTCGGCGAACATATTGAACAAACTTACGAAATCACTCCAAAAGTGTAATAGGTTAGATGCCGATTTATTTCATAGCTTGTATTAGGCTATGTGTTATACCAATAAACCGAATCGATTGAATCAGAATGATTCGGCGCGGAGCTAAACCAGTCCGTCTAGTCTATTTTCTCTGTACTGTTATGGGTATAAATTGAATATACTAAAACCGTCTATCTGGTCGACCCAAATAGACTCCATTAGATAGTTGAATTGGCCTGATTCTTAGTAGGTCCCTAAGACTACATCCTCGGAAAAGCTGTACCGATTGAATAACCATTTCCTGCGGGAAACAGTTTATTTATTCATCCCATATAGCGTAATCACAATTTCGACGAACTGACAATCGGGGTTAGCTCGATACAGAGTTCTCGAACTGCATTTTAAAAAAGTAGTTTTTTTTGTTCAAGTCAATTTTTGATTATGCAGGTTTGTGCAATTCGATCGTAAAGTGGTGACATTTGCCGAAACGCCTTTAGTAAATGACATACAAACTATCTAGGTCCGCAAGCACAACTGCTGTTTCCGTAGGGCAGTTTTCTTCCCTACAGAATGGGGCTAATTAATGTAAGAGCTAACAGAATAGGAATTTTGACCATCTCGGCATATGTGATTCATATGCCTCAACTAGATAAATATTTTTTCCATGTAGTAGGATGAAATGGGAAAACAGGATAAATGCAGTAACGTATCAAAGTTATAACTTTGTTGCAGTTGAAGAGCAAAAATAACGTAGATTGGCACAGCAAAATAAGGTCTGAGAGTGGTGTCGCGTGTCAGCTGAAGGTAAATTTTACATAATGCAAGAGTTGAGTAAAATTTCTATGTTTTTATGTTGGCAATTTTGGAATGGAGCTCAGTAATTTATGCGTGTAATAAGATACATGTAATCGGACTAATTGCGAGAAGGTAAAATGGTTATTAGGAGATCCTGATGGAAAAGCGAAATCGTTCTAGAAAAATGACAAATCCCTCTTGGAAGAGAGTAATAAGATAACTGCACCAAACTACCAAAAGCAAGAAATTGACTAGATCAAAAAAACACAATCATTGTAAGTAGAGAGTTGCAACGGGGATGCTAAAATTAATACAACAGGACGTTTAAAAGTCTAGGTCTGGAATAGAACACTAGCTTAGGTTAGAAGTAAAGTGTAATACGAGTCAAATAATAGAAGAAACTGATAAGATGACCGCAGCATGGCGACAACACATTCGAACTCGTCGACGGAAGAACGGGACAGGTGGGACAGGATAACTGCAACGGGATGAATGTTACTGAAAAATTGACTGAATTAGGAACATAGAATTACCGTAACGGGATACCTACAACGAGATAACGGGATCTGTGCTGCAATTTTTCAAATGAATTACAACAACATAACTAATAATAAAAATTGGCAACTAAGGTATAACTTATGTTTGGTGAGGTGGAACGCTAATCAAATTTTTCTTTGGTTGGGTACATCACTTACAGCATAGGATCCATTTTTAAAATCGTCTTTTTTAATATTCATTATTCGAACCCTTTTATGGTGTGTAGAAAAAGTTTCCTTTAAAAAATTCTGACAAAATTACATTTACGTAGAAGAGGTATTTCTTGCTATCAGTCAATAACTCTTGACGAGCTGAGTAAAAATGCTATAAATATAGCTACAATGAATATTTGGATGTGGAAGAAGTAAAAAATCTGATTGGTCGTATCGATTTATCGATGAAAATGTATGCCAATATTGTTTTGAGAGACTTCCTAAGCAATCCAGACAAACTGGGGAGTTAGGTTAGGTGTGACGCAAATCAAATCCATTTATATTAGAACAAGCTGATGAAACAGCTGCCCAAAGGTAACGGAGCAGGTGGGCGATGCAGCTGAAACGGGATAATTGTTGTTGTATGGTATACTTTTACCTTAGGCTAGATGTATTATAATAAAACAAAATTAGTTAAATCAATCAACACCAAACACGCGAGGGTGAGACCAAGTGGTCCATCTGTGTCGTCTGTGTCCATTTGCCTATCTGCTTGTTTGACAACCCGAATTTTGATCTGTCGCTAGAAATTCATCCTGGTAAGACTTGCAGATAAGATATAGCATGATTGAGTATTTTCTCTCAACAGAACGAGTTCGATTTCCTTCATAGATAGTGATGTTAATTTCGTTAGTGAGAAACCGACGCCAGCAACTATTTTCTCGTTTTCCACGCCTAATAACAGCGCCGCACCAGCGTTCGACGTCACAACAGTTCGTTCAAGACATCCACCAGCATTGTCCGCGTTGATATATCATCAAATATATATTTCTGTGAACATTGTATTCAGCGTATGTTACTTGATAAACTACCTTTAAATTTTATTCTGGAAGAAGTTATTAACTGTCCTATTAGGGAACAGCTAATTGTCGTTCAATTTTACCTCTGTTCTTAATATAATTAACTTTTCACCTTTACACGGGTAAAATGCGCTCAGTAATAAAATAATCTGGGGCGAAGCTCGCGAATGGCCCTCTACTATTAAAGGCCTGTTTCAGTGCGTCTGTCTGTCTGTTACTACCAAATGAATCATCAAAGCTCTAGCCTAGAAAAAAGCCTTACGTTAAGTAGAGCCGATTGAACGAACACATTTTCCTGGAAGCTTCTTTTTTAATAGAGCCTAAGCTCATTTTTCTTTTGAAATTTGCTGGAGAGTAGTTGCAAATGTACGAAAAATTTATATTTTAAAGCTGTTTATTTTTGTAGTTTTACAAAACAGGTGCTGCATTAGACTTCAGGGGAAGTTTTTGACATCTCGCTTATGGCAAAACAGCGGAGTCTAGCTGATGGGCTCATGTATATATTCGAAACTCGTGCCCACCGTACCAAAAGTATTACTGCGTATTGTAAGGTATCGACGTTATAAAGTTTCAGGTTTTGCAAAAAAATATTAGGAAATGAGGTGGTCTATGCTGGAACAAAAATCCTATTACGAGTAAAGGTAGTCAATATGGTGATCCTATCGACAGCTCGGCCTCTTCGGATTACTGGTATTAAGCCGCCTGTTTCTACGGTTCATCGAAACCTGTCGTAGAGGTGGCAGCGGGGAATAAGTTATGAATTAAGAAAGTATTTTCGTTACAAAGCCCACAATGCGCTCTATCTCATTTAATCAATCCTAACATTCCCGTAAAAAATGTTAAATTTCCTTGGTTTCAGGTATTTCAAAGTTTAAATGAAGATTAAGGTAACTATATTCAATGAATACGTCGATTTCATGTTTGAAAATCAATAGTATGTTATTTGTTACGTATTTTCTCATTACGATATTATTTTAGATCAATCTGTATCACATCGATACTTATTTTACTGAATGCCCTTTATGATAAAACTGTAAAGCGTCTCGCTGAATGTTATATTTAAACTACCACGAAAATAAACATGGCAAATACTTTTCCACGATACTGGACGAACGTATTGAAGTTGAAAATTGGCAATTATACTTAAAGTAGAGCAACATGTAACCAAAGGAGACTAATCCGTGCACCCATATTAAGATCGAGCGCACCCGGAACCCTTGCGACATTTACTGGAATATTCTTACTTAAACTGAGGCAAATTTTCATAAGCCTTCTCGAATGACTGCTACTAGTTAACTGATCGATAGTAACTTATTGACCAGACGAGTCTGAGCGCATTTAACTGGGCGTATTTCTCTCAAACGATTCATAATTGTTAGCAGTCGTATCAACAACTTTTCTACTCTCCACAACAGTTCCCGTACCCATCTCCACCTTCCAGTCTTAATTTCCTTTTCGCTTTTGCTCGTGCCTCCTCCTCTCTCTTTTAAATTGTCGTCTGGCATTTTGAACAGAACTAAAAAAACAGAAGCGGTTCGTCTAAAGAACTCTATTCCACGTTGTTGCTACGAGAATCCAGTGTTCTTAATAATCCTCAACCTTTCCGTGGCTTTTCGGCTGCTATTGGTAGAGCCACTAACGTCCGTCTTCTTCATCAGTTTGTCGTTGGCTGTTGTTGTTTTTGTTTATTTCCCTCCCCACCGCTATTGACCTCCGTGTGCGCGCTCTCCAGTCCGCCGCGCGTCGTATATAGTCATGCTGCCTGTTCCTTGCGTCTGCTTGGCCGGGTGTTGCGTTGGGTTGTATTCTACTCGTTTGCACTCAGCCCTTCTCGCTCTTTCTTTCGTTTTCCGTATGTGCTCTCTACCAACGGCCGTGTTCTCTACTTGCGCCAGCTGCCTTTTGTCTTGCTACCGTCCCTTTTCGTACTGCTGGCGGTAGCGATCGTTCTATCCACTGCTGGTCCTTGACTACTCGTTCATTAGGCAGTTCGCTCGTTTGTTTGTCCCATCGTGCGCTCTATCGTGTCTAACGTTACTTGCGGCGCGGTAGACACGTCGTTGTATCTTTCGTAGCGCTGTTGTTGCTGTGTTGTTTTGCGCTTAGGACTGTCGAGGCACTGATACCGCCACAAGGTGACGGTAGGCACTGTGCCGTCGGCTGTAGCGGCGATCGACGTCAACGTCGTCGTGTCGTATCGCGCTGCGATTCTTTCCCACTCTGTTAGGTTCTCCCTCTCTCTGTTAGGTGCTCTCTCAGTCTTTTTGTATGTGTTCTGCTCTGGTTCGCCCGCTACGACCAGAGCGAGCGATTCGCCGACACTTCGTCGTGCTCTGCGGGGCAGTCGCTCATCGCGCCAGGGGAACGAAGCCGAGAACGAGTGAGTGCGTGCTGTCGTGCTGGCTAGCTTATAGTAATGACGAAGCCAGTGACTGACCCTATGACAACAGAGATAGCGAAGAGGTGGCAGAGGGACTAGTGTGTCTCGTGCGATTGCGGCGGCAGCGGCGATTGTCCTGAAACGGCTGCCGCCGCTGGCTTCTGTTGATCCTCCTGCCACCCCACTTTCTTCTACGTTACACTCGCTCTTAATGCCAAAGCCGTTAGAAGCGTTTCGTCGTTTCAGGTGCATCATGACTGTTTCTGACGGATTAAGGACAATTGAAGACTATTCTCGGCAGCGTGTTCCTGCTGCAGGTTGTTAGTGAGTATGAGAAGCGGCAAGTGAACCGGTCAGCGTTCGCCATCGTAGTTGTTCGTGGTAGATAAAGTAATGGTATACCATCCACACTAGTGCAGGCGGCTGACGCTGCTTCTTCTACTGCCATAGCAAAGAATATTCGTCGCTATGTGTATTGCATCGCGCTCGTAACTGCTTACTGTTCGTCACTCTTCTTTCGTTGGGTAGCTGCGTTGTTGCTATGATTATCCTAATTAGTTAGCAGTAAGCGCATTATTACGAGCATTGTGTATCGCGATGAGCGAAAACTAAAGGTGGATGGATGACACAGCTTTGTTTTGTAAGCGCGTGTGGCTGTAAGTGCTCCTGGAGCTGGTCGTATTGCTGCAGAAGCAATAATAGCGAAATAGTATAATATTATATGCGGTTGACTGTTAATAGTACTATTACGATTGCCATTGACAACGAGTGTGTGACTGGATACTAAGCAGACACCGTTTGAAAGACAGACGGATCAATAGATGAAGGACGAAGGAAGCGATTCACTGCTGGATCTGCGTAAAGCAGAACGACAGAGAATCGGAGAGCGCCAAATGGCACCAATGGTGGAATAATAAAAGATCGGAAAAAAAGCGTTCTTCATTCGATTACATTGTGCACACCACGATGGTCATCGGTTAAACGGCTCCTTGAACCGTTTGAGCAACTTTAGCTAAATTTAGCCTTTTTCATACCTTTTTCCGTTGCCGTATAGACAGAGGGACGAACACGTAGTAGTGGCGTTATTCGATTTTTCATGCTAGTAGCAATTGACGCTCTATTTGATTGGTTGCACCTGACATAAAAGTAACTAAGAACAAAGAAGCGTTGAAAAAAAGTAATACATAAAAAGGACAAGACACAGAGCGTACAGACATAATCTGAAACATCTGAAAGTGTTCCTCCTGTTAACGGTCGTGCTGACGCCGAAGGACGAAATAACCTTCTCGGAGAAATCGCCGTCAGTAGGCTTGTTGAAGCTGTGAAGTGCTACAAAACTGTGCCAAAGCCGAGTAAAACGATAGCAATAGAAGAATACCGAATACCAAGTAACCATAGTGCGATTACAATGGAGCGCAATTTTAGTTTGGTGGACCTTGTTAAATCTTCAAGTTGATAAACTACGTTTACAACCACAGCCTTGAATCAATCATTTGCTTACTGACCAGATATCGAACGTCGGACTCAGCGGAAATTCATCTCCAACAGATATCTCTGATGCATTTACCTCTTAAATATTGCCTATCTTTCACGTTTTCGCTGCCTCCCTTACTAATGCGGAGAAATATTTGGCCTGTTAGTATTTGAAGGTCTTATCTGCTTATGAGAACTTACCAGACAAGCCATTTAGCCAAGAAGCAAGAGGATTTTTGTCTGAAACGGATCTGTAAGGTGGATGAGACGAACGTAGATAACGCTTTAGATTACTTTTACTGAGCGCCACAGATAGCTCAGCTTCTCACGACAGGTCTTTTAGTGCAAGCGATTCTTGCGCGATGTAAGTGGAGTACATGAACCTGGCGGCCACTAGTGTGGCAGTTACTGCTGTGCGCAACTGTAGAGGTGTGCAAGCGTTTAAGCGTGTATTTGACGAAGACGACCACGACAAGGCGCAATTCGATGTGATATTATGTAAATTTGCGTGTGTTGAGCTATCCGTGTACAGTTGGAGAGAAAACGCGCACAACGACGCAGGACGCACGACGAATACACGAACGTACAATAGTAGCAACGATGAATTTTCATTGCAGCGACAAATCGCGAACTGAACAGCAACAGGAACATCAACAACAACAGCAACAGCAACAAATGCAGCAGGGTCGTCGTAATTCGACTCAGTGGGTGCGTCTAAACGTAGGTGGAACGCATTTCCTCACGACGAAGACAACTCTGGCAAGGGATACAAATTCGTTCCTCTACAGACTCTGTCAGGACGACCCTGATCTTAACTCCGACACTGTAAGCCCTCTAACGTCCAGGTTATACTGTAATGGCAATTTTTTAAAGAAAGAAGTAACTGTTAGTAGGCTGAGCAAGACTTACAAAAAGTAGATGCCTAATATATGTTCATACCATAATTAATGTAATATGTTTGAAGAGTTAAAAAATAAGCTGTGAATACTTGTTATAAGAACAAGTAGAAGCTGACTCGTGAGCTCAGACTATTTGCAATAGGCTATAATCAATTTACGTCTTTTGAGTTGCAAATTTTAATAGTGGAACACATTTTCTGTTTTTTTTTTTAATATATGCAAATTTTTGGGTAAATCGACACATACGTACCCGATATCAAAAGACGTTTTCAATTTCAAGATATACGTACATGTATTTAATTTGAAAACGTAACACGTGATCTCTTGAGAACCCTAGGTTATATCGTGTATTGTTAACTTCTTATCTAATCTAACATTATATATATCGGCTATTGTATAGGATACCTGTACCGTGAGCCTGCACGTACTTAGGTTCCGGCTTCGCCGTCACCCAATAAATTTCTAAGATCAACTAATCATCACTGTAAAAACGTTAATCGCAGGCTACTTGATATATTTCAACTTATCAGTTTACAACCTGAAAGTTATATAATAACGAGTGAACTAATGTAATCATAAGGGATGGTGTAAAGTGTGTACTAGGAAGATACGGAAGAAAGAAACTCTTCTCGTATCAATTGAGTCTGCTTCTCAGTTGTCATTACTGAGAGGGAGTACCCAAAGCCTGCCCAGATATAGCGTTTTGCCTTTTTGCTCTCTGTGTATCTGTAATACACATGTTAAGCGTGGTTTTCTGCAATGACAAATAACGGCTATCAGCTGACATATCGTCAACTTGTTCGAAAACCAAAGAATTACTTATTACACCACTAATACTGTTAAATGCCTTATGTCCAATATATAACGTAGCGAAAGCATTTTTTTACTCTGTAAGCAATGGATTTGTCGGTTACTAAAAAGCAAAACACTCATCTGAGAATTTCAACTCCGAAGACCTGTACGAAATTGTAAGCTTTTTTAATTGTATCCCAGTTGCTTTGTACCAGTACGTAGATTTATAAAAACTTTTCCATTAGTTCGAGGCTACAGTACCTGAAAAAGGCAGAAAAACAGTACCTTAATAAAAGCTAAAATACGAGAAATCAACTTTATTTGTGATGACAATTTTGGTTGAACATGCGCTGAACCTAATTCCTTGCAAGTTCGCAATGCGATGTACCCGAAGAATATACTATATTTTTCTTTATGATCTTTGTTTAAAGCTTACCATTTGTTTTGCAGACAGTTTTCTTTCTGATACCCTATTTTGTATAATATAGATTCTTTAGCCGTTGTAGGCAAGCGACAGTATAGTTATCCACGATCGACCTTCTCTCTCCAGTACTTCATAACCGTTGTATACTGTCGCTTGACGAAATGTTTACCTTTTCATTTGAATAAAGCCAACGAGAAGTACGCTGATTATGTGTAGTCAGCGGTTATCGTTTGCTTCTAAATTGTGTATCAAGTATCTAGTATATCGATTGTTCATTGGTCGTTGGTCAATAGTCTAAACATACATTCTTTATTTTATTGGTCTATTTACAGAACGCTTTATCTATCTCCGTTTAATAAATACAACGCATAAGGTATTCGAGCTAAATTGGAACCAAATGTCATCCGTTTATAAGCTGTACGAAAACGGAAAAAGTTACTTGTATCATTGTAAAATTATTTGCATATTTCGACAGAAACGTAATTTGTGAGCGCGCTTACGCGATGTGACTGCAAACATTCCCAAATATTCAAGATTGCAAAAGTGTCAAAAAAAATACAACCGGAGAAGGCGTAAAATGTTAAGGTGAGACTAATAGCTGCGACTTGCCTGAACAATTGGAGATTAAGAGGCTCCTCTTGAAAGCAGCTGCAATTTCTGCACCAAAATAACAGTGTCGCCGAAAATGGCTTTTTGTACCAAGTGGATAGGCTTTCAAATTTTTTAATCTGATCTTGTGGAGTGGATGTTCTGTTTTGCTTCATGGAAGTCTTTTTCAAACTCTTCAGAAACCGAATGAAAGCTGGCAACAATATAAATCGTCGATTTCGGAAAATATTAAGTTCATCATTTTTGTGTAAATTCGTCCAGCGTAAAGACATTGAACTACAGCTAATCTGGGCCTATATTCTGAACACGAATCTCCTGCCTTCGCTGCGATGATTTGGTTGCCTTTGTTCGAGATATTATCCTAGAGTATTGATCAACAAACTACTAATTCTGTCTACTGTACATTCTGTATTAAGTATACTTAAGAGATTTGCAAGTGTCAGATGTGATGCAGAATTGGAATTTACCTATAAGGATCTATGTTCATACAGTCTATCATATATGCTTCGTTCGATTATTGGAGATCGGCGCCCACTTTGCAAAAATATTCTTTAAATCAAGACATTTAAAGCATTGCAGGTAACCTGTGCAACTGAGAAAGTCGTTGCAGGATACTGTAAAAATACGGGATTGCTGTGCTTCTTTTTTATGCGAATGTCGACGGATCTGTTCGCCCATGCTGCCACTCGACCAAGGCGTTGTTTAGCCCTTTCAAACATGCTTCTGATGACATCAAACGGCAGCGGATAGGGCGAAATGAGATCGAATCGGCTATTTATGATTTCCTGTGCGAGATGACAGGATTGTCGACAGTCTCTATCGTCGTTGTGGTTGAAGCATCGTACGTTATTCCCTCTTCAAAGAACGCCTTCAGCGCTTGTTTGTGCCAGAGTATTGCGTTGATTGTCTGTGTGAATGTGTATGGGTTCGGATATATGCGCAGACTATATTGGGAGAAGTTTGAACGCTAACGGAATTCCCAAAATGATTCTATAAGGCGGCTTGGCAAGGTTTGTCCCTATACGGACATCGAAGTCACCTCCTCCGCCATCACTGCCAGCACGGCTACTGCCACCACTGTCACTCTTTGGTGGTAAAACTAAATATGAGTTTAGATAGTTATTGTATTTGTAGTATTCTCAGCAACTTCTACCCCTTTCGGTTCTCTCGGCCAACAGGCCATAGCAAGCAGTCACTAACCCCCAGAGCCCAAAGGCCTCGATTGCGGGACCCTTATGCCAGTGATCGAATTAAGTTCACCAATGAACCTCAGCCTCAGCCGCAGCTTTCATTTCTGCCACTGCTACACGCACACCCCATGCTGAGACCCTGCACAGCCTGCTAACGTCAGTGGGGCGTACGTCAACGGCTCCGGTTATGGTGGTGATGAGCGCGGCGCGGAATGCCATTCTACAGAAAGAGCAATGGGCGCGCGTGAGAACAGAAACTAACCAAATGCTAGTCTATGTACCGTATTGCCAGCGACCCTCACGCACACTCGCAGGGATACGCAGACGAGCACCGTTTGTTGTCAGCGTTCTCTCTCTGATTGACGCTGTGTCAGAACTGATCGTTCCCGCCGGCCTAAACAAATGCACAAATATATCTGGGTTGCTTCGTCCACTTTCTTAAATCGTGTTTTTGGTCACAGTATGCACATACTCAAACTTGGTCATAAATAAAGTGGTATAGTATCATAGGCCGGGTGTAAACGTAAATGGCTTCTTTTTCATTAGAGCAAATACGACGACAGATCGTTTAGTGGTCGTCGAAACATCTGTTTGTGTGTGCTCACATCCTGACAACCTATTGCAATGGTTAGATGTAAGGGTGAAATACACTGATGTGAATTTTATGCTATTAAAGACCCTTCTTCGTTCTGGGAGTTTCGGCTGAGTTCGAAACTAGACCAAGCCCGGCTATAGGGACGATACTTAGTCATAGCCGGCTTTGGCTGGATTTGGTTGTCTAATCATCGAGTTACTTTCTGGACCATGAATGTTCCTGCTGTTTCTGGCACTAAACAATGTATGTGCAATGCCATTCCTAGCTACGTTGTATTGTATTATGCTAATAAGCTGTTATGCATTTATACGGCAGAAATAACGAGGGACATTCCCGTTTCCCAACCGTCCGTTTATCGGTTTTCGTTGCTGGGCTGACACATCAGTAAGTCTAGAACCAGGGATCTAAAGAGAACGATGAAACTAGATGAGTGGTACCAAAAGGTGTATTGTAAAGCCTGTTTTAGATAAACTTTGTTAAGTAAGATAATTTGTCGCTGCTGCTTTTTGTAAGAGTTTCCTTCGAAATGGCCTCTTTTAGAACATTGCCATTATGATGCACATATATGCACTAGTAGGTAAAAACAGGAAAACAATTATGATGCAATAATTTGCTCGTAAGGAGCTGGCTAGTTAAAGTGCTACTGTTGGCTGATGATTTTAATTGTAGGTCTGCCCTAACCCTTTTGAGGATAAAGCAGCTAGCTGGCGATGTCAAGCATCTTCCGATGATTACTTGAAATGATGTCATTTATTTTTTTCATGAGCAACTAATATGGTTTGAGTGTGTCAAATGACTACACATTGTACATTAATAAAGGCGAAGGCATGTGACATGCCTGTTCACTGTGCTGTTGTTTCATTCATTTAAGACAAGTTTTAATAGCTCAGCCATAATAATTAAAATATTAGTATTAATATATGTAGTCGTGAACTAAATCAGCTGCACAACGTCAGAACAGCTGTACTGTCGCAAACATGGCTTACCAATAAACCACGCGAAGTAACAATACGTCGAATTTATTTAATATTTTATATATACATATTATGTTTTGGTAAGTTATGCTAGCCAGGCGGGTATTTCAAGATGAATAAATAAAGCAAAACGAGTTCTTGAGACATCTGTGTGTTCATTCATATTCATTTATTTGTTCAGCGCATTCAAATTAAAGTTATTAAATCAGAAAACCTTAGTTAAAGTTCTGCATAGGTCGTTCAAAACATCCAGATCACTCTTTCGATTTTAACTCATCTGGGTGGGCTTTAGGCTTTTTTTTTTGTTGTGTCATCTAGCTTGATTTTTTGTTGTCTGATATGACTCAAAATTGTTCATTGCATTAATGTTTACTTTTCATTGCCTTGAAATGCCCAAAACTGATAACTAAAGAATAATGGTTCTTTACTACTGATTTTTAATAGACATCAGAAAACATTGAACTATAATTCAATCTCTAGTGAAGGAAGACTATGTTTATTTTCGCAGCCACCTGTGTAAATTTCACCACTTCTTACTGTCATGTTCGGTTAACAGGATGAAACAGGAGCGTATATGATCGACAGGGACCCTACATACTTTGGGCCTATCCTAAACTACTTGCGCCATGGCAAACTCATTATTGAGAAGAACCTCTCTGAGGAAGGTATGTACAGATTATGGAGTCGTAATACCGAACATTATTGCAATAGGAATCTGACTTTACTAAGCAAGTGGTTGTTACCATCAAGCCTAAAGTTTGCCAACGGTCGTTGTTCTTTTAAAATTTTAGGAAAACCACAGTTTTTCGAAAATTGCAGTCTTTGTGTTGTCCTTAGAACAAGTGGATAAAGGTAAATAAAACATGAATACTCGCAGAGTAAATTAAAAGAACTATTCCTAGTCGACTCAAAGAAGCTTTTTTTAGCAAAATACTCCTCTAATCGCTTTACAGCGTTCTTTTGCTTTACAATCTGGAGCTTTGTCAAGGAAGTAGATCAAATTAATGATGACTAGGAATAAAGAATTAACCAAAAGTAAATGTATGTGTTTCGAATTAGCAATCGCGTCATGTGCAGATTGTGATCCCATAAATGCTGGCTATAATATAAGGCATCTTATCACGACTACTGATAGGAGCTGTGCGCTGTAGTAACACATCTTCTCGTTTGTTGCGTGTTTCTAAATCTGGCCCGTAGGTGTGCTCGAGGAAGCTGAATTTTATAATATTACGGAGCTAATCAAGGTAAGCTCGGCGTGGATAGACTATAATTGACGAAATCAGTTTAAAAAGAATCATGACATTTATCTATGTCATCTTTATTTAGAATATCATTTGTGCAAAATGTTAGCAAATATTGCAGTTTTCCTTATATATCTATACAAAAGCTCTTTTTTAAAATATCTCAACAGAGCCTTTTAAGTATTTGGTATAGCCGTGGCCAGAAGAATTTCTGACTACAAGCAACCTACTGGGCTCGCTGAAACAAATAAGAATATCGTATTGTAGAAGTCGAGTAATTCGCTAAAATGTGGGTCTATCCAATAAAATGAGCAGTAACTAATTCACTTTTTTTCTATAAATTTACTTCGTTTTCTAGATGCTCAAGAAAGCAATAGCAGATCGGAACTCGAAGACAAAGCTGGCATCTGACGGGCACAAACACGTTTATCGAGTACTACAGTGCCACGAGGATGAACTCACGCAAATGGTGTCGACGATGAGTGACGGCTGGAAATTTGAACAACTCATTCCGATCGGTAATAATTGTATTATTATTGAGCCTTTTTTAAAGTAATTTAGCTGGTAACGTCAAGCCAACACCTCGGGCAACAAAAATAGAAAGAAACATGGCACATATAGGTATGGGGCTACGATTATCACTAATAGGTCGTATTAGTTTAATTTTTTACGGTGGTGTCCTGTTGAATCGAAACGTTTCAGGCTCGTCGTACACGTACGGGACGGACGATCAGGCCGAATTTCTCTGCGTGGTGTCACGGGAGTGCGCCAATTCACAGGGTCTCGAAGGGAAGGATCGCGCGCAGGTACATATATTTTTTTGAAAAATATCACGATGTAGCTTGCAACATGTAGTATTGAAAAAAGGAAGATACCTTTTCGATACGGAAAATCTTGTTCAATTTGCAACGTATGAATCTTACACTCTATCGAATTAATTACTGAGATTCATTAACAAAGGAAAGACAACTTGCAAGAAGACGGTCTGTTTCCAAAGGCGAAGTTCGAATGTGGATTAGTTCAATACAGGATGTTAAAAAAAGGTGTCCGTGTAAAGTGTTCAAAAAGACATGCAGCTCTATGGAATTAATGTGTCTACTTTAATATGCCTGCTAAGCTTGTTCAACCGGTTTTTTGTGTTTTAGCTTATTCAGCAGAAAGCCGCACGGATGTGATTCCGATAGGGGATCTCGGTAGATCCCGACACTCGAGGCGGCTTTAAGCGACACTCCCCTCAAACCGACAAACGCCTTTTTTTGCACATCCCAGGATCGCCTTCCTGCGCAGGACTACTACAGCAGTCTGATATTTGGATTAGCCACCAACTGTTGGTTGCGCGGTCACACAAATAGTCGATTTTACGAGCCTATTTTATCTTCAACGAAAAGAAGACGTCCAGGAAGACACATGCATGTGTTGAGACGACTTGTGAATAACTTACAAGAGTCATATGACTTACTAGCATATTCTATTATCTAGCAGCTGAATCGATTTCATTAGCGACACCGGCACTTTTAAGGGTACACGAAGAGGTTCCAGCATAATGAGAGCACCAAATCAAGATAATAGTTAGACAATTGGCAACGAAATGAATGTCAACGAATATGGCCGAAGAAAACCGAAAAGGCTTCAATGTATGTATGCTTAAGCGACGTTTTAACGTGTCAGCTTCTTCACTCATTAACATTAGGACAATTTGGACTGCGCTTATATTGGACATTGTATATTTGGGGGTAGCTGAATCAGTGCGTTTGTACCGAATAGATAATGGTATGTGTATAGAAGTAAATATAATCATACAGGAGGCGTCTGTACATGGCATAAACCGAAAACCGTAGTGATCGGTGCCCGCGTCAGGCAAACAGCTGCTTAACGGTTGGGCTTGGTAAGATCACTCTTGGTGGGCTCTTCGTAAGACCGAATAATTATAATTGCATCTCGTTCGATTTATAATTATCTGTGCATCACAACAAATGTGATGTGAGATGTAATTACTAATAAAGAACGGCAGAAATATAATTCCATTCGGTCCTTTACCTGGTTATGTGGCGCATTGCGAAAAGAATCTGACTCCAAGCATGCGAGGCTCACGTAGGAGCCATCCACGGACAACAGTATAAGGCGTGCGAAAAAATGTCGATGAAGAGAACGATGGTGGCTGTCTGTTGACTATATGAAAAGTCTAAAAACTATTGCAGCAAGTCTATAATAATTATTGAATGATTATGTTTTTCGGATGGATTACTGTATGATAATCTCAAAGGCCTTTTACATTCGCCAACTTTTTAAATAAAAGAAGAATTAAGCATCTTATATTGGGATTCGGGCTATTTGCATTTGGCTGAGTGCGACCTACTTAACGAAAAATTAGATTGCCACTAAACAGGCGACGAAGGCTTATTTTAAAGATGATTATCTTGACAATTTAACTATTGTTATTATTACTACCTCGTTAAGCGAATATAAAAATGTTTCCGTATCCGTATAGGAAAGCTAATTCGATCGTTAAGCGACCACCGAGTGGCTTATAGTAATGAGCGACACGATTCATTAGTTGGTCCTATTAAGAAATGACGCCACGGACTGAAAGTTCTAGTAATGCATATACAGGAGAAAAGTTACTTGCCAAATTTAAATTTCGTTTTTAGTCTACACTGACAAAGATTTCCTTCAAACCTACTATTAATTTCATTAAGGGCGAGAGGATTTTCACAATGAAAATCTATTCTAAAAGGAACCCACTATTAAGCCGCATCAAATCATCGAAATTGTACCGCGATGTAAGCAAAAAATGAGCTGCGGGTAGTTATTGAAAACCCTGTATATATTTATACATATATGAAGTAACATCAGTAGGAATACGTCTTGAGAAAGAAGTGATAAACAATATTCTAATATTTAAGAAAAACAAATGTACAAGCTGAATGATTACGTGATTATGGTAATTGATTGCATAATTTCATTTACGAAATACTTGATAAGTATTGTGATTATAGCGGCAAAAGCCTCAGTATATTAATCTACATGAAATTCACATGAAGCGCGTCATATCTGCTGTTCTCTGTGCAAAATATGCTTCCCATTTTTATTCGATAGCGTTGAAAATTCAACATTCTCGAATCGTTGTTTTTTTGAAAATTAAGCTGGAATGGGCCTTTCTGGAAACCACAAATCGACGGAGTGCGTTTGACTCGTTCTGACAAACTGCCTCTAAACGCACTACGCAAGATATACGTATCTAACAAATAAGGAAACATTCCACGGTACCATCTGCAATAATAAAATTAACCTCATTCATGCACGAATGAGGCTAAGCCTGAGATTGTGTGGGTTTGCACAACTAGAAATCTGTGAGTGTGACTATAATGCCGTATTGTTTAGCGCAGTTTTAAACGTAGCTTATCCATCAGCCGATAAAAAGAAAAGTACTCTAGAGAATGACGAGTTCGGTTCCGTCGAAGTGGGCGGGGTAAAATCCGACTTCAGTATGGTGCCCCCCTCGTTATAAGCCGGTACATGATTCAACACGAACCTGATGTAACATCATCGTAGGGTTACTCTCACGTTGCATAGTGCGATGGGTATATGTGTAAGCGTCTTCAAATAATGTCTTCTCTTTTAACTCAGACACATGCTACTTAATAACTGGTCCGAGCTTTTCACAAGAAAACACAAGGAAAAATAGTACTTCTGGGCCAACAGTTAGTATACTGCGAATTAGACTAGGTTTTACATTACTTTTGCTAGGATACCGATTATCTCACCTTAATCTTTTTTTTACCTTTCATCAACAATCTAAGCTCGGGTCATTCTCCTGTACAGGGTTGATTTTTTGTTCTACTTGAATGAGTGGAAGGATCTACGGCGGTGACCCTTATACCTCACTTGCCTTATTTCCAGCAGATACAAATTTGGCAACTGTTTCTTCAACAATGGCCACTATCCTGCCTTTTACCATTTACATGTGAGATATGCTAGAAAAACGTGCTGACGGCTACTGCTAGAACACGGATATTACGACTGTAACCATTAATTAAGTATGAACTGTCAATGTTTTTATTACGCATATAAATATGGTTAATATTGCTGTTAATTATAGTGTGATGGAAAACCGCAAAACCAGTAAAGTAGGAATACAAGCTAGACTGGCAAAACGTGTCTAGTGCTTAGGATCTCTACTGAGAAATGAATGGTGCATGACGAACAGATTGTATCAAAATCGTTACTTATAATGATTGATTTTCAGTTAGAGTTACCGAAAAATTCATGTTTTAGGCTTTGACAATGTTGAGCAATGAAATCTTGATGAAAACACTTGACTAATAAATTCAGTTCTTAGTACTAGAATTACTCATGGTAGAAATCACAGCGAAGCCATGAGTATTATTATAGTTGTCATTATTAATACTCTCTATGCTATTTACAGCAACAAAACCTACTGCCCAACAGCCGGTCATGCAATCTCGAACTTATGACATCCGACATTTACTTCTTTATGACAAAGACACCTTACCTTAGCGATCGGTAAATACAGTTCAATGCACACCAGATTACAATGGTGACGATGATTAGGGTAAACTGAAGTACAGCTTACCAAAAAGCTGCGAATGCTGCATATGATAATGATGTAATATTTATCAACGGGGTTCTATATTTCGATACTTCTTTTTGGGACGGTTCAGCATAACTGACCTTTGACCAAGCGAGATACATTGCATCTCCACCGTTGAATGCACCGTAGCAAACAATGATGGTAACAAAGCAACACTGTGGATGTATCTAGTAGTTAATTACGATTTGCTCGAAGAGTAATGTATCGATCCTTCATAGCCGCCAGGTTTCTGTAAGATTCGCTGTTCACTCTTTCTCTACTTTCCTCCGAAAAATTAGTTAAATCACAAGCAGCCGCACACTAACCTCCAGGAGAATTTTCGAAAGAATTTCCTCATTTTAAGACCTGTTAACTACCTATTGCTAGAACTAAAAGTAATAATAAATTAAAAGAACTAATTTGTTTACTGAACGAGGCGTTACACATTGCGGAGGATGAAATAAGAGCTACAAATACGGTATGTGCACGCGCTGTAACACCTTACATTTCCGAAAGAAGTGACTGTTGACTAAAAAGTAAATAGATCCATAAAAGTCGCCCTAGCGTCCATTGTTCTTATTGAGCCTTTGTCATTTCGTAACACAAAGTTTATTAATTTAAAAGTGTAGTTATGCGAATGTTATTAAATCTATAATTTTTAGCAGCGTTTAGAGCAACTGTTAAAAATTTAGATCGTTATGATGTCCTATGTTCAATAAAATAGAGCATAATAAGCTGTGAAAACACTTAAAGCTTCTAACGATTACGCTAAATGCTGTTAAAAAATACATCATATACTACAAGACATTATCAAGATCCAACATAGTAGACGCACTCTGCACAGGTCTGAGAGCTTCCAAAGCAAGCTGCGAAAATGTGAATTACAAGAAATAATTCTCCAGTAACTCGTCGAGCAACTTTCGAAACGAATGCCATTATCATACAACGTTTAAGCGATAATTACCTTCCCATTGCTTATAATGGCACTTTCACATGGTTACCGGGACACATCCTTGAGTGTCGTTTTCTTTATATCGATTGGTATTGGCCTAAATATACATAAATGCGCAGACAATGTCAAATTAATATGCCTAAGATGGGCTTCTTGTGGATGTCCTTACGTGCGCGACAATAGCTCAAAAGATGCTTGCCAGGATAGAAGACGCAACTTGGTCGCTATAACGACGTATTAATTCAAGCCCGGTTTTAACTGCACGCGATCGCCCAAAGACTCGTCAGTTTTTTAAGCCACGCTTTACAACGTACATTACTTCTTGGGTAAAAGTTCTTTGGCGGTCAGTCCCTCGAAATCGGTGACAAGTTCGTCCGGATGATCTTTTCGATAGCGTTTCTGTCAAAAAGCGACCTCGGAACGTCATTTAGTACCGAGTTTCGATACGCGGCGCTATCAGCATCCCGGAGCTGAATAAGGCTAACTGCTTGTTGATTTTGACACTTTCCTTCATCGCCATTTTATCACCCTTTGGCATTTCACTCTCTGCGAGGTTTACTAGCTGAATGTGTCGGGACGTTGCGCTCGATCAGTTATTTTCATCATTGAGGTGCTGAACGAAAACTAAGAACTGCATGCGACTGGGAAAAATCCATGTTAATTGGGGCTGCCGGAATTGTCAATTTCTATTTTTAATCACGTTTTAGAACGTAACTTCCCGGGAGGTGGCTTCTTCGGTAGTCAGTCTACGTCGGTGACAAGCTCAACGGGATTACTTCTATAAAAAAATATCCATAACTTCTTAATTACGAATTTTTAGTCAAGAGATTCTAGGCCTGTTCGTTATAGATTTGGAAGCACATTGTACGGAGTAATGACTCTTTAGATTTAGAACTATACTTTGTTTATAGAATATAATATAAATTAATGATACTTCATCGTTGCCGCTCTAACAATACCTAGGCCTATTAATACTGACTCTGCCATCTACTTACTATGTGCAATGATACGACAGATGTGTCATGGATATATATAGTGAGATTAACTGAATTCTTAGACATTTATAGCGGTCTACGACGGTTTTAAACAGAGCGACAGATTTACGAGCGCTTCCCCATTATTTCTTATTGAACCCCGTGTTACCTTGAATTGTTCCATACCTGAATAAATGTTATAGTTGAACTTTTGAAATGGTTAGGGATATACCAACGTAATATGGCATAGCAGATGTAGGGGGACTAAGAATGCTCCAAGAAATCGGATGAGAGATCAGACTCATGAATAGCTAGTCTAATGGAACAAAAAAGTGTGCTGATTATTATATAAACAGGCATCATCATGGACAACACTATTTATTTAATCTAAAGCACCAGTAAAACTCATAGAGCGCGTTTGTGTTTAACTTACACAATTTAGTGACTGAATTCCATGAACGCTACTCTGCACCGTTTCACTTCGCGATGCCACAAAGGAGAATATATTAGACACAGCATGCAAGATGCTACCTAGATTTGTCGACACAGCATTCTGTTGCGTTGTTTGTGCCGCCCATGTAAGTCCAGTCGGACGTTTGTCGTAGGCCATTATTTCTACACGATTGTAAAGGTCTACTACTATTTTTAAATGTTCATCCATAATCAAATTCTTCGCTACAATACAACTGTCTCAAAATAGGATTTTCAGTTGTAGACTACCCAAATGTCCTAAATAATGAATTTGATACTCAATAATACCTGGAATTGGTATCAACAAGTAGAACGAAAAATTATATAATTGTACTTCATACAGTCATGAATTCAAAGTTCACACAGGTATTCAATAAACAACATACTATTACAATAATAAAGTATATGCTGTTTGACTAAGTAAAAAACGTAGACCCTGAAAAGAGTTCTATAGTTGTGTTGAAGATTTGTCGTCAAGCACTGAAAGCCCACCGATTAAAGAGCCTGTATCATAACACAAGGCATTTTGAAATTATTACGCGCCCTAAATTATCGTGATAAATAGTTCAAAGTAGTGACACTGAATTGGGCTGTGTGTGGGTTCATAGCTCGGTATCTCGACGCTGTTTACTCCAACAGCAAATTATCAAGTTCATGATTTCCCTAACGGTTTGTCTGTACACACAGTAACAACAACAAAGTCATTTTTAAAATAGTTATGTGGGGTTATAACCTGCATAATATGTAAGAATTTAACACTAGCACGTGCACGAATAGCATTCATCTATCTCGAAAAAAATTCAACACAAGTATGCGATGGTCCACATGACCAAATAAAACTGCAACATATTTTTTAGGGGATGCAACGATCAATGGTTCTCTATTTTCCCCGTTTTAAATGTAGCAGTACTGCTGTTTATTGGAAAAATAACCCACAGCATTAATAGGTATATTTATCTTCAATGTCTTCAAATTCAACCTTAGAAATCTTTAAACATTTTGTTTATTTTGCAATTCCCAATTTTTAAAAAGATTTTTTTTTTACCGCAAGCTAATTGAAAAATGTAGTATCTTAACGTATCTTTAATAAGCTTTTCGAACAGGGCATAGATTTCGTCCTAAGTTAATTATCTAAATCTATTATGTACCAATTTGATTTTACTACCATATGTACTTAATTTGACGAATCTGTACTGAATACCCTGCAGAAGGAGTCGGGGCATGACTTGTAAAGTGGATCGTGTTGTCAAGTAAACCAGTTCTCTAGTTGAGTCTCCGTGATGATGGTTACGCTCTTAAACACTCCACCTTTGTAGGTATTAAGTGGCGTGTTTAGGGGCTCCGCGTTTACCAGCTATCTGATCATGTTCTAGCTCCTACAATTGTTTTAACAAAAAAATCAGCTAACCGCAAGTCTAAACAATGTGTAAGAACATGAATCTAATTTTTGGTTGGCGACGGAACAAAACCGAAAATTGATTTATTAAAATCACAATACTGATTAAACACCTATCACGAAAGAGAAGCATTAATATCAGTCTAAACCAAATTAGCAGTAATGTGGCCGAAATGCGTTTTTTTGCGACATATAATAATAATAAAAAAATCCAGAATAAATCATTTTTGGTGAGCGGCCCAGGAAAGATTTCAAAGAACGTCTAATATCACGGATTAACTAGATTTCTTATATGGAGTTTCTTAATTTTCAGCTAAGTTATGCAGACTCCTGTGGGCGTTAGTGTACAATGGATCAATATTTTCACTAAAACACTTCATTAGAAATAAGCACTCGATAGTGATTAAAAAGTATATCTATGTTCTTGCGCCCATTCCTCCTACCACGCTGTGACAAAAACCGTGTTCTAATTACATGATGGGCTTTTTGTTTTATTTAAATACCGTTTTCTAAATCACCCACCTAACTGCGAAGCATTTTGAGACTGAGTCTTGCAATCCTGATCGTACTACTTTCTACCTCTCAGACGACGTCTTAATAAATACCGCAATTTACCGTAACCAAAATAACTAAAACCCTTATGTCACACGTCACCAACATCCACAGTTAGCATAATGTCTGAGACCTTAGAATGCAAGCTCTGAAAACGAATAGTATAAAGAGTATTTCGCTAATCCCATTACCAAGCAAACGCTAATACGATCAAATAACGTATTAGTGACAATAACTCAATGTCGGAAGCTTCGTAGAGCAATTAAACACATCGGGTCATCTATTATGCAAGAAAATAAAGGATAGATCCTTAAATTAAGATCGCTGAACGCAAACTATACCTGGCATACACTGACTGGAATTACGAATTAAGCTCTGCCCGATCCTGGACTTAAATATGGTATATATATATATATATATACAACACCAAAGTACTTTAACATATATATAAATATATTTATATGTATATATATGCCAAACAAATAGAAATATCTATGATGACACGTTCGTTTGCTCAACTGGACGCTTCTTCTTGAGTGTCGTTCATTACTTTTATATTGACCGATATTGGCCTTTTTTTTTCAATTCAATCAACGATCTCTTTTTAGTCGCGTATTTATCGGTCCTCCTCCGCTACATGTTGAGGATATATTATTATGTACTTAAAAATGTCCATGTTCTCACAACGAAAATTCAAAATGGATATCGGGTACCAGCGCAAGTCCCAACTAAAAGCAGATTTCATTTCACGGTGACTTATTCCGTTTGTCATGTGCCATCGATCTATGTACAATATTTACAACTATGTCAGCAGAATCAAATGAAGCCACACTGTCTACATCAAATGGTGAATCTGAATGATTCTTTTCGACGATGACTGTGATTAAACCCCCTAAAAAGAGAAAAATAGCAGGTGGCCTTAATCAACCGATCGAGTCCATCAGTTTTTCTGGGCTGCTTTGGACGGAAAGTAGCCCGATTAGCGGGATGGGTGCTTTCAAAATTTCTAATAGAGTTTGTGATTTTCTACGGATTCAATCATATTTGAGATCACAGCGGGTATTCGTTGAGCGACGTCGTCAGTCTGAAATTCAATTATGAACAACAAAATACACAAGTAAACATAACACCAGCACTCATTTAATGATTAAAATAGGACATTCTTACTATTTCCATGCATTCTAATAGTGTACCCCAATAGAAATGTCGAAATGTGAAAACCTAACGTTGTCTAACAATGTTTTTCTTAAACCTACCTGAATGGGTGAATTATAGCACTGAGCACCGCATTTGCATAAACTTGAACAGGTAGAACCGGCTTTTGTACATTTGCATTTCTGACATGATTTGCCTCCACTGCAACGGCAACCTCCGGATGCGGAAGCTCCTTCAGATTTCTGAATGGAAGGGAGATTAAATATGCAACACATGGGGGTTCACACACGGTTTAATATCTAATGACACGCTTATAAGGTTTCTATTCACGTTTAGTCACAACTCAGCATCATTAACTCCAGCTTTGAAACGAACTAGAAAAAAAGGTAACACAACCTTTTCTTTAGTTACCAAAAGTATAATCTGTCATTTTACCCTCTATAAATCCCATTAATATATTTGTTGTAGATATACTATATATATATATATATATTTGTTGTAGATTAAATCAAATGATTTCTGTTATTCTACATTTATTACTTTTTTATTCGGGGGCTCCTCGTTTTCGTTGTCGCCTTCATAGTTGTCTTCTTGTGAGTTGCTTCTGACCGCCTTTCTGATACGGGGTTCAGTAATGCATGTGGTTGAATTTCCTGATGTATTGGCATGGGACATCGTGCAGTTGTTAGCTCGACGCTGTCTTTCAGATGACGTATTTGCGACCCAGTCGGGATCGGTCTCTTTGTTATCGGCGAACGATTTTTCATCCTCCGAAAATAGTGTAGATGTCTCATAGTCATCAAAGCGCAACGCATCAAGCCTTCTTACCGCTACGCTCCGTCCATTTGTAGGAACCCGTCGAGGGTTCAATGGTGCCACAGTGAAAGGTGACCTCGGAATCATCATTCCGTGAGATATCGTCTACAAAATGCGATTAATAGGATCACTCCGTTAAATGATCGTTAAAATCAATCCATTGAATAGTCACAAGTAGCTTATCGACATATAAAATTACATGACACACATGCTCGTATTTTGTGATTAGCTGCTTATTTTTGACAAAAAATGACTTTCTAGCATACAATAAACGACTTCTACCATGTAAACCTATCTGCATAGTTCACTACCCTTGCTCGATTTTTCCTACTCTACTTACATTAAGTTTGTTCTTCAGTTCATCAATCATTGCATTTTTATCCTTGAGCTCCTGTTCGATTTTCTCAAGGTCGCCCTCGTCACGGCCAGTTTCAACAATAAACGCAGCGTACTTTTCTTCGATGAGCTGCTTCTCGTGTTCGCAGTCATTAAGCAGCTGCATCGTATGTTGCTGCTGTTCCTTAAGAGTGGCTAACTCATCGCGATACCCAGCAGCTTGGTACGCTAGCTTCTCGCATTTGGACACCAGAAGTTTGACCGTGAGCTGCGCATCGTACGAAGTGTTGAAACGTTCATGAAGTCTGCCACAACTCTCAATGCTTTTTTGAACTTCCTGATTTTTATCCAGCACTAACTGGGCATTTTTACGCTTCTCTACCAGGTCGATACGTTCGTCTTCGAGTTCGTGTCGGACGTTATCAGTGAGATCGCTAGTTTCAAGCTGCGCTTCGATTTCTGCCAGGCGGCTATCAAATGTCTGAATCTGTTTGGTGTAGTCATCAACGTAGAAGGTCGACAGCGCCCGGGTAGCAGCCATGTTTACCTCGTCGTCGACCATTTCCTATGAATGCAACGTCATAGTACAATAAAAGTCGAAAGCAGTGCGCGTCGATATGGCTATGTTGAACCTTATGAGCACACATTGTCTTCTACTTAACGTAAACGGCCACGTAGGAACAAATTATTTCGCACAAGAATCATTATCATAATACTAATGTTAACAGCATTATAATCATACAACTTTATCAAGTGTGTAATTACCACCTTCAAACTTACCTTTACTTTGCTGTACACACTCATGTTATTGTTTGTGGAATCCATCTTGCTCTTGCTCGAAACCGACTGCTGCTTCGCGGCAGATTTGCTGTTCTCCGTCTTTCGTTTGAGCAACATCTCCAAACGGTCTTTAGCTGCGAGTGCTTGTTCGAGCTTCCGCTGTTGGCATTTACGTTCCGCAGCTTGTTTCATGTCAAGTTTACTACGTTCAGCAGCAGCTTTTTGCTGTTGGCGCTGCAGAGCAATCATTTCTCGCTTCTGTCGCTTTATCTCCTCCTGACTCTTTTTGCCTTGTTCTTTTAGCATTCGTTGGAGTTTCACTCGTTCGCGGTTGATTGATTCCACCTTCGCTTTATATTTCTCAATAGTCTCATTTTGCACCTGTGAGCTTTTTAGGTCCTTCCTCAATTGAGAAAGCTTCTCCTTTTGTTTTGTAGTAGATGAGAGAAAAAGAACACCAAAATATACAGGGTTACGTAAGATCAATAAGTGGTAGCAATATCGTAAGGTAGTTCAGCCCCTCGTTACAACAACTTCCTTTATACAAACAGCGAAAAGGGGCAGTAATTATTCGGCCAAATATAACGTATAATAATTGCTTTTCCTCTATAGAAAAAAAACAATACTAGGTATGCTCTTAAATGTTTAACTTCACCCAATTTCTTCCATATCAATGTTGAACATACACAAGAGATACACAAATATATTTCCAATCCTTTGATCTAGACGTATCTATTGAATAGATAGCCACATGTATGCTTGCCTGTAACACACGATTCTTTTCCGTCTGAGAGTCAAGCTTGCTCTGTAGTTCCCTAAATTCTGCCGATGACTTCTTCGAGCCGCTCATCTGTTTCGCTGTAGAAGCTTTTTCGGCTTCGGATGCCTCGAGCTGTCGCTCTAATTCAAGAACTTTTTCCTCCAGTTGTGCACTTTTTTTCTGCATCTCAATGAAGTACTTCAGCTGACTTGCGCTTTCATTGTAGTCTTGATCTAACACAGACAATGCTGATACTAAAGCCAGTTCATCGCGGGGCTCGGGTTCCATAGCCTCATTATCAGTATGATTACCATTTTCTTTAATTTGCTCCGGTCCACTCAAGTTAAAAGTCCGATTGGGAGAAGAAACTTCCCCCGCAATCGAAGTAGTTCTAGATCATAGCATATGAAAAAAGTACAAATATTCTGTGAATACTTTAACCTCTCTGTTTTATAAAGTAAAATGTCATACTATACTGCAGATTGAACTGTACTGTGACTTACTACGGATACCGACCAGCTACAACTGATGCTGGTTTTATATATAGTATAATAGAAAGTCCATTTAAAATCGGCATAGTTTTACCATAATTGTTTCTTTTTAAGTACATTTGAATGGATTGCCTAGAGTTCCCAATCCCGATAACGTAGTTTTCTTTAATGATACCTTGACATTATCGAGCTCATCCCAAGTAGCTAAATTACCTGGTTTCCTTTGATAGCGTCGCTACAAGACGTTGGAGTTGATTGCATTTCTCTTGCAGCATTTCTACTGTTTTCGTTGACATTTCATACTTCAAAAGAATTTGAATCATTTCCTCAGTTCTGGCAGCATTTGCAAATGGCTCCTTCTCTTTGTCCTCTTCAAGTTCCATAATTGTCATCTCCAAATCGCCGAGATCAAGATTATGGCTTGCACAAAGTTTTTTGAGACGTCGATTTTCTTCTTTGAGCTTTAAGAACTCCTCTCGGGTGATGGCCTTTTGAGCCTTTTGAGCCGAAATCTCAATCTTTCTAGCCTGTTGCGCGTAATGTAGGGTCTTCTTGCTTTCAGCCTCGTTACAGGACTCCATTGAGATGCAGGCAATTAGCGTTGTAATAGAATTTCCGTCTAAGAGCGGTTTGAGCACCCGTGTTAGAACAGAGTCTCGATATGAGACATGGCCTGAACGATCCCTGAGTTGAATAATAACGCGTCCCAAAGCTGACAATGACTTGTTAATGTTGACACCCTCTTTCATCGTCAGTTTATCACCTTCTGGTACTTCACTGCCTGCAAGATCTACTAGCTGAAGGTATGGGGTTGAAGCAAGCGTCGATTCACCTTCGTCATTTAGATGCTCAACGAAGATTGTAAAGACCGCATGCGATCGCGAGGAATTCGCGTTCATCGTGGTTGCGGCAACTCGTCGATTTTTTGATCCACGTTGTAAAACGTTCATAACCTCCTGAGTAGAAGCTACTTCTTCGGTGGTCAGTCCTTCTACATCTGTGACAAGTTCACCAGGTCGATCTTTTCGAGGAACATCTCTAACTTTCTTAATTACGGGTTTTTTTTTGTCGTCGACGTGCAGAAGATCGAAGGCCTGCTCATTGTATATCTGAAATCATATGTTAAAAAAATATTGACTGTGGTAAAATTGGTAAGTTGAGTGTGTTAATAGAATAATCAGTCTGAATAACTGGGTTCTCCACTATGGCGTCCTACGCCCATCAAGTTTTCTTTGTAACGCGACAGATTTCCATTACAACTTCTTTAACTTTAATGTATGATAATAAGCGATCGAAAAGTTTCATGAGGTCACTAGCGAAAAACAATCGCACTGTTTGTTTACTTAATCATTATTATTACCGATTCTCCATCACTTACCGTAATCTCCAATTACTATCTTGTGTCGCTTCGCACCTAACTAAACGTTAAAGCTAAAAAGTTGAAGAACATATTAGCACGAAATGGCATATTAAATGTAACGGTACCAAGGGGATCTCCGAAGAATGAAACAACCAGCCTAATACGCTATTTAGAAGTAACTCGGTTTGATAGAACGTAAACAATGCTGAATATCTACAACTATCGTGGCTAGCTCCATAACTAGGGCAGCACAAAAATTAATAAACCCTGTTCCTATTGAGCCTAGGCGGCACGCTAACCTCCATGAACGTTACTTTAACGTTGATTTGTGTTGTCTCATCCCGTGGAACAGCAAGGCGAAATATATCGGACGCGGCACGTGAGATAATACCTGGATTCTTCACGTAGCATTCTTCTACGCCATTTGTACCAACCGTGTAAGTCTTACCAGACGATGTCTGGCCGTATGCAAGGATTCCCACACAATAGCCTGCAATTGTAAAAACTCATCTCATTTCTCAAATGTGAATCAAAAACCTTACTAGAAATCTTAGCCATAACACAAAATGGAATAATTAGCGACGGACTATCAGAATAAACTACTGATAGATATCTCGTCTATTTGGGTCAAGACACGTAGATGTCGGGAAGCCCACAGTCAAGCAAATAATTGTTTCCAAAGCTTGTTTATCCAAAACAATTATGTGTATTGTTGTATTAATATGTTGCATTAATGTGACACGCTGTATTATCTACTATAATGTAAGATAAATGACTATTAAGAGCCCAGGGCTAGTGCGATAACAGGCCCAAGTCTAGCTCAGAATTTCGTTCAGTCTGTAATGTCTCTAACGGTTGTCCTGGCAAACATTAAGTAGAATCAGAAAATTTCTACGATAGCCACCTAAGGTTATAGCAACCATAATATGCAAGAAGTCTACACTATAACGCGCACGAATAGTCTCAATCTACCTAAAAAATCCCGGCACAAGTCCGCAATAGTTCAAGTGAACAAATAAAGTCGCCAAAGTTTTCTGTAGGATTTAACGGCCAACGATCTTTGACTTTCTTTGTTTTAACTGTAACACGATTGCTGTACATGGAAAAACAATATACAGTATCTATGCATTTCCGATATCAGCTGCATTCAATAAACTTTTGGAAAATATTGTTTTTTTTCAAAAATTTACATTTCCAAAAAGATATGAAGCTTTTTTTTATCAATGCGACAATATATCGACGTACCTTCAACGAGTTTTTCTACTGCAGTTCTCAGACGCTCATAAACTTCTTCCTGAGTTGCTTCTTCCTCGAACACGACATCATATTGGAACATATTATTTGTCATTTCAATTTCATTGCCATATTTGTCCAATTTAATGGATCCGCGCTGGGCACCTTCCGGAAGGCGTCGAGGACGAACCATGACTTGTAAATTGGACCGTTGCATTGTAACGATTAAACTAGTCGGCTCGTTATTTTAATAAGACTTCCACAAACATAAACCTCGGCTATGAGCACCCTTTAATAGTAAACTCGTTAGGTTGGTTCTCGGCGGCTCGGGCTAAATTGCGTGGTCCTTTTCGACACGAGCTTCGCCTTCTCACTCGCGAAGCCGCGCATTCACTATTCAGTAACGCTTTCTGGCAGCCGCGTTTACTCGGATTCAAAAGTTCTCCAACGCGTAGTTATCGTGGCGGTAAGGGAATGGCGCGAAAATTTGAATTTTTTTTTTTGGATCAATAAAATGACCAAGTTTAGAAGGTTTACAGCTTTTACTTAAGGCTTTGTTTGTTTGTGACAACCTAGGTATTCTATCTAGGATAAATTACTGCTGCTGATCTCAATGACAGTGGTTGAAGGAATATAATAACGTTTAGGTGACGCGGGACATTCTTTTAATAAAATTCTTAATTTGGGAAGCTCGTGTTTTTCTTTATAGCTGTGCGTTGTAGATCCGTGTGGCTTTGTTTCCGGAATAGACGAACATTTCCTCGAAAACAAACGCACAATTTTTAATCAAGGATATGAAGCAATTGTTCGAACATAACTTTTTCCGTTAAATTCTACGATTTCGTGATCGCTATACGTAGCTATTCAATTTTCTATATCTATATATAAAAACGTATAGTGATATCTACAGTCATTGGCCGAATTTTTTCATTGATTATTTTTCAATAAGGGACCCGTAAGTCCTTTGTCGTTTCATGTATTGCCGCATGGTGCGTTACTTCTATTTTGTTCCGCTTAGTCCAATTTTTTTCTCATCAAGCGGCTATCTTTGCCGCCCTTAACACTTACGAACCAATTATTGATATTTTGTTTATTTTTTTGCTAGTGCAGATAAACCCAATCGGAGCCTTGGGGCTAATGTACCATTTCCCATAGCATTAGCCCGTGGCGAAACAAACTTTTTATAGTCAGTGTGCGGCGGTGACGCGCTTCGCAAAAGATGTGACAACGCTTTTTCATATTAATTTGGCTTATTCAAGCAAGGTTGATATCAGACAGCCTCAATCACTTTCTATCATTCTTAAAGTATTGCCACTTTATCGATCGCGTCAACGATCTCACATGATTTTATCGCGCCCCCGCGGCCCATATTCGCCGTCGTCGCCACATGCGTTCTCAAGACACATATCATCACTATCTCATGCCCCTCTGTTTGTGGGTCTCTTCTGCTGAGCTACTCCACTGGCTGATTTTCTCGTAGGCCGTACACTGCTGCATATTTACTCTTAAAATAAACACCACCAGCAAGATCATCAATAGCGGCCACTGCTGTATCTCTTGTGTAGAGTAGTAGCAGAAATAGAAACAAAAAGCAAATGGACTGAGCTCTCTACACAGAGCTCGTTTTCTCCAGTACTTATGGTGGCGGCAGTACTATAAATCAACGATTTCTGGACAGAATAGACGGGCTGGCTAACGAAAGGAACAAAAACAAGAAAGAGAAGATGAGTTCATTGCTGCTCTATGGGCCATTATATTATCGTCATTTCCATTAGGCAGTCTACGTGAGTGGTCGCGATGTTACCGATGATGTCGGCGTGATAGCGACATTACGACTCACTAATGTGTCGTCTGTCTGCCTTCTGATTAGCGGGCGAGCGGTGCGTTCTTGCCTTTCTGTTGTTTGCAGAGATCGGCTGGTCGCTGGCATCAGCAGCGATAGAGGTTGCGACTGACACTAGCCGTCGCTACTGTCGGTCCGTGAGTCTGTTTGTTTCGGATTGGTTTTCGTCGTCGTCGTCGTCGTCGTCGCCGCCGCCGCCGTCGTCATCGTCGTCGTCGTCATCGCCGCCGCCGCCGCCGTTGTTGTTGTTTGTACGCATAGGCAGCAACGCGGCTGCTGCCCCCGCCGCTGCCGCTACCTATATCGCAGAAAAGCAGTTGGCTGGGTGACTCACTAGTTCGCCGGACCGACAAGACACAGACTTCGTTAACGAATAGAACAGCGTGACTGAAAACGAACACTACTCGCATTAGTACAACTATAGTTTTTACTGACACTGTTGGGCTGTTAGCGGGGGCGTCCACCGACTGCCTGCTACCCCTCGGCTAGAGTATAGCAATAGCATAACAACAACAGAACAACAAAGCCTGCGGCGGCTGCCGCTGCTGCTGCTGCTGCCGTTATCATCTCTGTTCAGGCGCTGTCCTTTCGTTTGCTCGGTTTCGCTCAGATTTTCGCGGGTGTTCGTATCTTTTCAGTCCGTCGCAGCAGCAGCAGTCGTCTGCGGTCGCCGCCGCCGTCGCGCTACAACAGCCTGCAAATAGACAACGGCTAGCTAGCCAACAACGGCAATAGCAAACCAGCCTCCCCTATTGTTGAATGCGATTTTTGTTGTTCGTTTACTGAATACCTGCGGACGGTGACTGTTGTGTGGGTGCGTGATCGTTTCTTTGCTGTTGTTGCTATTGTTAACGACAAAGATCATCAACAACAACACACACCGGCAGCGGCAACATCAGGAGGAACACCACTGATCAACAACGATTGCTGTCATAGTAATCAAGTTTATCTATCTGTATAGTATATTTATATAATATTGTGTATGTATTGTGATACACTGTCATTGGTAGGGCGAGACGGGAGAGTTAACCTGTCGCTGCCGCCTTCGTTGTGACAGCGTCGACGAACGTAATTGGCGTAATTTGTAGTTCAGCTCAGCATAGTTGTCCTGACCAAGTAAGCAGCAGTGCGTAAGTGAGTGACGGCAATAGACGCGGCAGCAACAGGGTTTTTGTTCTGTACAGGCCTCGATTGGCTAGGACGTCCCCCAGTGCCGTTGCTGATGTTATTGGCGGTAGTGCCGTTGTTGTTAATGTGTTTTTTATCATCGCAGAAGGAAAAAATGATTTCCTAGACGAGCTTAAAGCCTAACCACAACAAAAGGGGCAAAACAGTGGTCCTGGCAAACCATCAGGATTTTGTAGTAGCGTCGTATGAAAACCAGACAACACATTAATACAATCCGACGATTTGAATGCTCTTGTTGAGGTTATGATTAAATGCCTACAAAACGATAATACTGCGACACGGTTGTTTTCCAACCAGCTAACAGCGTTAAAGGGGCAACTGGGGCGGGAGCAACAGTAAACAGTGACTGGGGCCAACAAAAGGGTCAGCTTTCGTCTTTTGTCGTGTTATTGAGCTGTTCATTACGTGTTGTGTGCGATACGTGTAACGTAAGACTGCCGGCCAAGTTGAAAAGTCTGGGTGTGTGCGTCGTATAAGAAATCAAGAAAAAATAAGCCTGGGTGGAAAAGGAAGTCTGACGATTTGTCTCGCAGCGCTATACATGTCTGATTGGATGCGCTATGTCGACCGGTGATATCGACCAATGTGCTTACTAAGTTTCGTAACAGCTATCGCTGTGAGTAGGTCGTGTTTACGTGCATGTTGGTCTCGCATGTCATACGTGTCGAGAGGATACAGAAGCAGCGCATAGCAAGAAAAATAAATTAGCGGAAGAGCCGGAGCGTCGTGAACAACGCCGACAAGAGGGCATTACTGGAAAGGCACGGCTTATTTCCGATACGATCAAACTGAAGATCATAGAATCGTCTTCAGAATGCGATATGGACTTTGTAATTTTGCGCCATTTAGCTAACAATAACAACTGGAAAAAACGGGTGAAATAACATTATTGAGGGATCGAGGGCACTCAGCGACGGAGATTATTGGCGTTATAAGGAAAAATTGATTTGCGTATGTGAACGCATCCTGCAAGTTAAAGCCATCTACGACGGCGACACGATGACTACTAATAATATCGAAAAGTTTATTTAATACATGGCACACGGGAACTAATAATAATAACAGTAATAATGAAAGTAACTAAATAACTTGAATATGAACATTTAAGGGCAACATCAGGAATATCCGTGGTAGTTGACGAAAGCAGTCCCAACAGCAACAGCCAAAGGCGCCTGCGAAAAGCACCTACGAAAAATGTAGTCACGCGGCTCTTCCTTAACACTCGATCGTCATTAGCGACTATTATCTTGCTGCTCAATGCTATAGTTTGCGTGTGACTTTCTTTCTCCCCATCCTCTCGTGCAGGCGAGAGTGATTCTACGTTATTATTATCGTCGACCTTATCGTAATAGCGATCATCAGCATCAGCGCGATTGTTCCTGCCGCGTCAAGGCAAATAACGACGGCGTCAAACGCAACAAGAAGAACAACATAACCGAGAGCAATGTGAGCTACGAACGCATCCGACATCCGCTATTGCGCTAATTCCGTAAACACGCACTCTGAAAAAGCAGTCAGCAAGCCGACAACGCGTAGAAAAAATAGACCTCACCTTCCTTGCCGCGCGGGCAGATGACACAGAAGCCGGATAACGTCGTACCCACGTATCCACCAATATCAGCACCTTTACTCCAACCGGATCCACAGTTGCTGGTGCTATCAGCAGCGTCTCCGTTCAGAAGAGAATAGACTGAACTTCGGCCATATTTCGCCTCCGATCTCTCTCTGCCCCCACGAGTGATCCTGTCGGGTCGCTGTCCAATCCCCTGTATTGTTTGTTGTCCGGTTCGTGTCCGGTACCCGTGGCCAGCTTTACCGGCGAGTCGCTGCTTGCCGAAACTCATCCCAGTCTGCAACCGTAGCTTCGGAGACAACCCTGACGTCTACTACCCCATCAAGCAGACGGACGGACAGCCGCGACGACTGGCTGGTGAAGTCGAAAACGTCTGCGGTGACGCCGACACCGATGCTCTTGCCGCTGAAGCTAAACCCAACAACCGACTTGATATCGCTAACAGCGGGCCGTTCGGACACCAGCGAGTGTCGATACTCGAATTATCTTCGCCATGATTTCGAGCAGCAGGCTGTGAAGTTCGTACTAGCACGACGAGAGACAGTGCTAAGTGAGCAGTGTTACCGCATTCCACGGTAGAACTAGGGATATAACGGGATGATTATGTTTCGCCCTATAGTGTCAATCTCGGCAATGTTTGGAATCGTTTCTTGAGCTAGGTGTCAGGGGTCGCGTACTTCATCAGTTAATAACTGGTGGTACGACTATCAGAACAGTAGTGATATACTTTGTTGTCAATTAGTACATACGATATATGGTGTACCTACGGGATGTGAGAAGACAAACGGTAGCAGTAGCAACATTAATAACAATAACGACAATAGACATTTGGAAGAGAATGACAAACGTTGGCTGAAGCCGCCTAGGTTAAAAGAAGCGATCGGTCCACGTTATCAAATTTGCTACGTACATGTTAAATTAAAAAGAATCTAGTTTTTATAGGATTGGTAGTGAGTTGGTGTCAGTTAGTATTTGCGACGGAGTAATCACATCAATACGAGAAGACCGCGGCCGGCGCGGGGAAGTGTCAGTTCTGCGCTGTGATTCAATAAGTTAATCCGATCAGAGAGAGAGCGGCGGTCAAACTGAAAACTCAATGTCAAGTAAGGGCACTTTTTTCATTTATATCTGAAGAGTGTGATGAATGATTAGTGGCCGCCTTAAACTTCCCCACCTCATAAATAATTCTATGTTTGGCGATCACGATTGTTGATATTGTTTTAATTGTGGCAGCACTCAGGTGACTGCAGGTGAGAGGAAACTGCGTTAAAATTCTACATTGAAAATATATAGAGAAATAGAAAACGATTGTGAGTGAGATAACTAGAAATATCAAAAGTAACTTCATCCTTAAACGAAAGTGACATCCAGCCAGAAGTAGCAAACCATCTGCTCGAGAAAGTTTACGCAGATAAAAGGATTATTATGCGAAAGGCAGCAATTGTCACAAAACCTAAAAAACCTGTTTACTGTACAGACGCTGTCTCGACCTCAATTCAAGTCTGGTGATCTCACTTGTGCCTGTTCTAACAATTAGACAACCTTTCCGTTTAACTCTGGCGGCAAACGGAACTGGTGTGCTAACAGTAAAAACACGTTGGCGTCGTTGCAGCTGACGTCAACGGCAACCACAGTCACTGTTGCAACTTGAAAATATTAATCAACAGTGTCATCATTATAGCCAGTACAAATAACAGCTACTTCTCGCTCGATGATAGTAGTTTTCAACTGGACCTGCCCTGCCACCTGAGCTTGGAACCTGTTCGAAGACCTGCAAGCATTATCTAATTATACCATTTTGCTGTAATAGAAGCATGCGAAAAAAGGGTCTGGCTTGCAAATTCTAGCAGATATTAAAGAGTGTCTATTTTTATTGGATGGTGTTAGTGTGACGTCCGTTGTGGTAGTGTCATACCGTGAGCGTCCCCTACGTTAAGACGTGAAAGGAAAGAAGTATAGAAAACGAAGAAGTAAACGCAAACGTCCGTGTGTAAATCTTTTAGAGGGTGGAACAGAAGGTGGCGTGTCAGCAAGCACAACGCCGGGGTAGCAAAACTCACCAACTCGATTATTACTACTACGCAAAGGCCGTCGTTGTCAACAATACTGTAGCCATACTTATCGTTTCTGCTAGTGGTCGTGCTATTGTGTATCCCTCCCGCTGTGTTGAAGTCCGCCACTGAGTCGCCGATGTGATGAGCAGCAAGTCGACGGCCGTGTGCCGCTATTTCGCCTCGGGAGGCACCTGCTTCTACGGCAACGAGTGCCAATTCATTCATGGAACCCCCGACCGAATTTCCAATAAACAACAACAACAACAACATGGGCCGCCACATCAGCCTCCACCGCCTCACTCGCAGCAACAGCATTCCCAGCACCATTCGTCACCCCATCAGCAGCCGAATCAAGGCAGCAACAATGGTGAGTCAATAGTGACGAGCAGTCGATCAAACGGACTAAGAGGTCACTGAACACTTCTTACGCCTGGTACGAAGGGTCGTTCTTGTGCTGTCTTAGTGGTAAGGGTTTGTCTACCATTAAGCATAGGGACATGTGAGCTGGGGTTTACGTACGAAACCTAAAGGTTGGCTGTGTGAAGCAATGGTTGAGGGCGGTACGGTGCGTAAAATATTCGTTTATTGGTATGGGTGACCTGGGTACCTTAAGAAACTGTCAGGATTTCAGGTGGTAAGGCGCGGTCAAATTCTTGTTTAATGTAGCGTCAACTTTCATCAATAACATTATAATTTCCATATTGTCCCCGTAGCAGCTTAAAAGAGAGCGGCAACAGTTTTAGACAGAAAGAATTGTGTTTGGAAGGTTTGGAAGTTACGTATTGTGTTAATAGGTTGTTATTTGAATGGAAATGCAGTTAGTTCTAACAAAGTTCCCAACGATACATTTTATGTACATTCATCAGTATGGTGTTCTTCGCTTTGGTCATCTCTACACAGGCTTTCGTTATTTTTGTTGCCAACGGTGGGCTACGGTGCTGCCCAGAGTTGTCCGAATTTCTGTCGACGTTTTTTTGGCGGATGCCTATTTCCATTTCGCCGGGGACGCGGCTGCTGCTGTTGTCTAACAGAGACTTGGACTGCTGATGCCGTAGCGAGTAGAATGGATCTTCTATCCACCCACGGTTCGGTGACCGCTTATGTGGCTTGTTGAAGGAGGCCAAGTCCATCGCACATTGGACATGGTCGCCACATAGACAGCAACAGCATGCCGACGAAGACATCGGCAACACTGTTTCCTTAATGTAGAGTGCTCACCTCGGAATTTTCCGAAGGCAACAGCACCTGTGTCTATGTGATACAACATTAGCAACAAGAGACAGTAAGCACAATTGATGATGCCAGTAATGGGCTCTAGAACAGAGCAATAAGCCGCAGACCAATGGCCAACAAGTTTACCTAAAGCTGACCACTAAATGGTACAAAGTTCTAATAGGGTGTGCCCTTCCCATGGCTGGTACAAGTGACGTCATTGGTGAGTTGTTGCGAAGTCCGGCGAACAAAGTGCTCGCTATCTGCTGCTGCTGCTGCTGCTGAACGGGTAGTTATCCAAGAACAATAGAAAACGGTAAAGGATCAGAAAAAAGAAAAATAGGGTGAAGGCGCGAAATGCTCTTAACAGTTTTAGAGCCACAAACCTTAGATGCTTACAGGTGACAGCACTGATTGCTTTTTATTCGGTGTTTTTATAATTATGTCTGTTTTCACTGCACGTAAGATGTATTCATTGATGAACCGAACTGGAACACATCTCCTTTTTTGTATTATAATAATACGGTAGTAATATATATATATATCCGAACGATGTCTCATGATAGCTTTCAGCGGTGCTCAACAACCTTAGCTAGGTTCAAATATTAGTTTTAATGTTAGAAAGGAAATAAGACCGTTCCAAGGGCAAGCTGGCGAAGACTTATCAATGGTTGGGTAGGAAATTAAGGTAGGGTTTAACTCGTTCTCATCAGGATTAAGAGAAAGACAGGTTAGTATTATCTGATTCAACTTTATCATGATTCTCTCAAAACGTTTAGTCTGAACGATATGGCGGTTTAGATCATAATACTCTAGCGTCGGAGAATGTTACTGGGTTGAGCTGTGCTGTCTGTTCTATTGAAATATGTGAGCAGAAAATATCAATATAAGTATACGTGTGTATTATTTGAAGTAATACTCGACCATTAAATTGACACGGCGGCAGTTTAAACACACTTATAACACAGTCTACTTTCTTAAAGGCTTTTTTTAATATCATCTGTATATTAATGCCCGTGCAGCATACGATGATAACGCCTACGGAAATTCGAGTTGTGATATGTATAAATACAGTTTGTTGTTTCGACGACAGCCTTTTGCTTCAGTACGGTTCACGTGACCTTTTCATAGCGAATTGACATTATAGGTTAGTCGATCGTTATTGAGCTGAAGGCTGTGTCATTCTACGACCAGTTACACACATTCTATTATGTGCTCGTTTATAAAACGATTATTTGTTTATTTTCTTTTCTTTTCTCTATTTATTCAACGCCGAAATCGTATGGTCGATACAGAACATTTATATTGAATGGTGTTTCCTATTTACATATTATATTGCACATTATCGTTGTGTATGAGAGTCATTTAATTTACCACATTGTCCAAATGGATTATTTTTTAGCGACGTTTCTGATAGCGTCGAGGCTTTAAGTGAAATGTCTACAGATTGAAATTATCAAAGGAGATCTTAACATGAAAATATATTGGCGTATACATATAAGTAGATTTTTCGCGGTGTTGCTTTATTTAGCTTTTGCTGAATAAAAATACAAAACCTTCATATGACACGGTTTTAAAGAAATCCGTAAAATTATAGTTTAAGGTTAAAGTCGTATTCGCAATTAATGAGCAGTTTATAAAGTATGTAAATAGAGTAGACGCGCACTTGCAATGCATTCATTTTGACACTCTTCTAAAGAAAACCATTTGTCTAGAATACTAACAAGTAAAAAAAGTGATACATTTAAGTATTCTCACGTCTGGCTAACAGCTGATGATTTTTCTATCGTTCGTCAATTGTGCCACAGATTCCCTGCTATCGGAGGAGGTTCTGTTCACAGGCTACGATTTGCCCGCGGAATCCAAGCTCAGTTCTTACATCGTAAGTGTTGCTTTCGTAATGTTACACTCTTCGGAAATGCAATATTGTCTTGCCGTTAACTGATATATTTCTTATTCCATATTCTTTCTATACAGTTTTATTATTCGTACCCGTGCACTTTTCCTCCTTATTGTGTTCGTTTAATTTGTTGTATAACTTACTGTAACCGATGTTTTGTAATGAGATTTCCATGAATGATCTACATACAAATACCTTCATAACCTGCTTTTAATGACATTATTTTCTAAAGTGTCCTGTACGGGCTTTTCCGTTGCTGTTACCGAAAACGGTACAATGCTCCACCATGCCGAAGCCCCCCGACAAAGGTGCGATAACAGTACGATATCTTCATTCTGTATTACATTCATTGTCCTATTAAGGTGGTGCTTAAGAATTGCACGTGGATGTGCTGTCCAATGGTTGTGCCTCCAACGTAGACATGATAACGATCACTGGAAAGCGTCAAGCTCGAAAAACATGTCGATAACGATTCCCTAGGATCCTTGGGTCATTTTAAAAAAATGGCAGCACCGTACAGCACAAAAAATCATATGTATCTTCGTCTACTTTGTTCAGGTTAAAAATCGACAGATAGAGTTGTTAGCGGCTCTTTTAAAATAGTGGTGGCAGCATTAGCCACGCGACAGATGGGACGCATGCATGAAACTCAAATTTAAATTGTCATTCAAATCTAGGTCCATCTCTTGGAACCGAGTACAGACTGAACGCACATTCTCCTTATATGTACTATTAGTTCATGTTCATTGAGTCATTGATGAACTCGATTTACTCGTCACTTAGATGCGTAGCGCACGTAGCACCTGAACTCTCCTGGTTCACACGTAGCATAGAAAATTAGATTCCACAGTCGTTAGCTATTAGTTGTACTGCTTTGAAAAATGTACGCCCAACAACGCTGCAGGTAGTTGTTAATAAGATAAACTTCAAAGCTAATATTTTGAGACTCATATGTCTTACGGTCATTGGCACAACTGTGGCAGGTCTACCTGATCTAATGATCCTTAGCACCCGTCACCCAAATAATGGCTGCAATGATGACTGTGCGATCAACACTACAATGGCGTAACCTGTTTACCAGTTAGATCGTGTTATTATTAGTATATATACTGCCATTATTTAGATACTTGATAAAAATCTTGAATCGATTATTACAATTGAATGATGTTCCCAGGAGCAGTCTGTGGCTTCCTTTCAGAGGTGGCTCATTTGAACCAATGTATCTGTTTCTACTTGTTTTGGATAGCTAAATTGCAACACGCGATTTATTGGTAACGCTGTACATGGTACTTGGTCTTATCGGCAGCTGTTTGTTTTGTCCTGTACGTTATCATCTGAGGGCAACTGTACTTGCGACATTCTCCATTTCGGCTTTTTCAGATCAGGAAAACATCTACTGCATCATTAATTAATAAAGAGACAGTGTCCCTACTGCAGTTGAATGAGCATATGTAGTTGTGTGCGTGAAAGAAAGTGTTGTGAATCTGTGTTTTTTTAGTCTGCGTATATGTTCGTGTGAATGAGCTTGTTTCTATTCAACACAAATCGGCAGAGGAAATTATTTGCTAAGATCAGCCTTGTTGCAGGCGCCTGTCCAAGTCAGTCAAGTTGGTCAAGTTGCTCCTCCAGGCTATGCCCCTGGAAACTTCCAAGTGGCTCAGTTCTACCCAAGTGGCCAAATGGCAAATTTTATTTCTCCCCCTCCATCTGCTTTGCCCCTACCACCACCACCGTCGGCATCGGCACCGCCGGCGTCGTTACCACCTCAATTAGTGCCGCCTTCATCACAAGTTTTGCCACCACAGCCAGGTCTTCGTGAGCAAGTTTCCTCTGTAACAGCGTACCAAATGCAGGCTGTCCCTCATGCTGTTTACGTTCCAAGTGGCTCCTCTAATCTGTACCAACCACAGCAACCAGAGGGTCTAACGCCAGTTGTGAGGAACCCCGCTAGTGAATATTATTACCCCATTCCTTCGGGTCCAACTCCCTCTCGGACTCCGTTTCTTGTTACTGAAGCTGGTTTACAGAGGTTGGCTCCCTTGCAATTAGAGTATCGTCCTATATTGCAGTGTCCGGTGCAAACAACACGCTCGCCAATGCGCGCCGCGTCCGTGGTCAGCGACGTGCCACACTCGGCGATGGGGTATCGAGCCGATGCGTCGATAGTTAATTCTAACGCCGGCTTTTTACGGCCGCTCCAGGCGACGCGAATGCCTAAGGAGGCTCCGTTGGCCACGTCGCTATCGAACCTCTCCATGCAAGACGTCAACGCTCAGGAGTTCGTGCCGGTTTCATCAAGAGGCAGTTCGTCGAGTCTAAACAATGTCTCTAGCCAGCCTATGACACACTCATTGAGTGCGCCCATTGGCGCATTCAGCAAAAGTGGTCCCGCTGGACACCTATTAAGGGATCGGGATAGCCCTGACAATTCGCCAGTGATTGCCCGCAGGTCATACATAAGGAATCCTTCGCCACTAACCGTCAACGGAGGGGAATATGCTACTCCCACGGGCATGTATCAAGTACGTGTATCTAGATTTCACCTATTACTGTGATATATGATTATAAGTTTTTATTTGCGTTTCTAAGCAGTACAAAAAAATTCCATTAACACAGGATTGATAAGGGCCATTAGGAATAAATATTCTATAAAGGCATCTTTTTAGATGCTTTTATAGTTGTTCTTTGCGAAAGTTAAAAGGAGTGAAGTTAATGATGGGTATAAATTACTCCTTTTCCATCTCATTCAATAGGATAACGTAATTAGTTCGGGTAAAACTACATAAAAATTGATTATACAATGGGGAACCACGTTAATGAGACGTCTGGCTAGGTCGGCCTCATTCGACGAAGGTTTTTTAATTTAGGGTCTATTCTTCATAGCCAGTCCTCAGTGAAAACCTTTCTTAAAGAGCGTAGAAGAAATACTTGTGTCTTTTCTGTTATGCGTTATGTATACATTATTACACAGTACGCCGTCTTCTATATTCTCTACTAGATATATTATAGTTAAACCATAGTAGACAGTATAGTTTTGCAATTAAAACATACTTGAATAATTTGAATACGACAGCTATTCTTGCCTGGCTAAAAGCTACTTCTATCAGAAATTTGAACGCCTGAGGCGCAATGCCGCTTTGGACGAGTGTAGAACCGATCCCACTTTTTTGTCGGAGACTATATGTGTCTTGAGTAGACACTTTCTTCTATTCTTGGAATATGTTTTGTAATGCATATCTCTGACGTTATTCTAGTAGTCTAAAAAAATCTGTCTGTTATTTTATGATTCATTTACATTTCGTTTTACAGAAAAAATTGGAAATATTCTCTAGGAACTGACTGATGACATCTATAACGGTAGATTTTTTTAATATTAATGATATTGCGAAACAACAATCCGTTACTTCTCTGAAATTCAAATTATCTATGGGTCGAGCTGTTCATTTGTCTTTACTCACTGTATGACGCAGTTTGCGAAATTCAGGCCGTTTGCACCCGTATGAAACTGCACTGCAGCGCCACAATAGGCAAGATTTTATTTGGTCGCGGAGAAAAATCTATGTGCACGAAATATCCGCATACAATCAGAGGAATTTCATTTAGACGCCATTAAAGAAAAGCATAACATAGGAATTACACCCCCTGTTAAGCTATGGCAATGTTAATTTAAGCCTCGGGATTTTACCTATTAGAGCGATGTGTCAAATAAATAAAATTTCGAACAAATACTGTCACGTTACAAGAATGTAGAGGTTTTTTCTGGCTAAAATATATTACTCTACTTTTCGTAATTTGATCTTAATTCAATTTAGCCTTCGTATGTTTCTTTGCCGAGAAAGATCATCAACATATTAAAGCAGTGTATGCTTTTTAACGTGCAGACGAGCAAGTTGTATGATAGCTAGAGATCATGTCGTTATTCTTATACTATTCAGCATGCTGTACTGTTACGTCTTAATCAGCAGTAATTTTCTTAAAGTAGACATGCTGCTTGATGCTAATTTATGTTGTGTTTCCTGCAGGAATCTTTGGGAGGTACAACCTACTTCTACCAACCGGCTGGCGGTAACGGAGATGAAAACGGAGGTGAATCAACTGCACTTGGGGTAACACCAGACACGGCTGTCGCGGAAATGACTACTGCAGCTACTGGGGGTCTGGCTACTGCAAGTGGAGTACCAATTGCATCAGCCCCTGAAATGATACCTCCCGCGTTTCACATGTTTCCCGGTCCGCCCGCCCATGTCGAACATATGAAGCCGAAAGCCAACGCGCCATCATTTTTCATGTCCGATGAACTGCGTCTAGAACTTCTTAGTAGGTGAGATTTCAGAAAATAGTCTGTTGGTTAGCTTTAGCTTGTTTTCAACAGAAGAAGCTAAAAAATATGCCGAAAGCAAAAAAAAAACGCGAAAAGAATTTACATTTTAATTTACCAAAAATACAATACCAATATTGGATTTCTATAATGTCATGGAGCTCGTTCAACGACGGCGACGACCTTAACAGATGGTGGGAGCGATACTTAGATTTGGTTTCAATAAAAGTTAATGTATATGTATAGGACTGATTTGATATTATTATAGTTAAAGATTGTCCATATTGAGGATGCGTTAATCCAGATCTAACTTCATTTCTTATTAACGTTCTCCCAAATGCAAACATACACTCGTGACGTACAGGGCTGCGTTGTTGAACTCACGAGTAAACGCAGAGTTTTTCCCTGATCTTCCACAACATATCGACGCGTATACGAATATTTGCCCGTTAGAGACTCAGGTGAATAAGAGCCACTGTTACGGGTACGTCACCTCGGTGTATAGGGCAACTAACGTTAAAACCGGACTCGTCTACTGTCTACGTAGGATACATGGCTTTCGACTTAGTTCGACGAAGACGATCATTGAAATTATTGATCACTGGAAAAAGGTGAGAAGAATACTTCTTTGAAAAGCGCTTTTATGTGTATTCGTAATGGAATCATTTGACGCAGTTTACCATCGACATGTTCTTGGTTGAATGAGCCTAATACTTGCTGATTTGTTTATATACTTTTATTTATTACTTTATATACTTTATACTTGCTTTTGCTACCTTTTCGGTCACACACAGACATGAGTACTGTGCATGAAAGGGACGGCCTCTCCAGTTTAGATCAATGATCTCTTATAATGTTGGATCCACAACTCTACGCTTTGTATGCGCAGAGATTCTTTTTTAGCTGAACTTTTACGCAAGACAACGACTGCAAAGGTGCTACAACATTAAAATGTGGTAGAGTATCCTAAAGGATAACTCAACGCAATACGGACATTTGCTTGCGTCAGCAAAAATACGTCTTAATTTTAATGTGGATTAGTCAATGTGATCCAGCGCTCTGCTGATAATCACGTAGGTCCTTGAAAATACCTGTGTGATTTCTATGCTGCTTAATTCGATTAAGCTTAGATCAAGGCCGGCAGAGGTTACGAAAACCGAACACCGACAGATGACAAAAATATGATAACGATAAAACTGGGCCCTCATGAAACGTTCAGTAGATGTTTCGTACCCGGTCTACAAATTGTTGTGACGCTAACGAATAGTAATTAATTTAGTTGGTAAGCAAACATTGACACTTTTGATTGAACTGCGAACAAAACATGACTAACTGTTGTGGCAGCTCGTTAACGCTCAAAACATGGCATAGATTATGCTCTATGTAAGAATATCGCTAATATTTGTGTAATTTATTGAAAATATGTAAACCCGCCGGTTTTTTCTTGCTTTCTAAGGTGCTAATTATATTTTGAAACTATGATATTCTGTAAATCAATGAAGACACCAAGTTGCAATATACTTGATACTGTTATATTTGATTTTAATACACAATTGTATTCTTGATTTTATTGTTCTTGTGACTTCTTAGATTCAACATTCAAACCTCGTTCAACTACGGGAATTGTTCACGACGAAAGCGTTTGGCGACAACTCGGTTGTGTTCGTATACGACTTCTTTGCGGGAGCGCAGACAATGAAGCAGGTGTATTTCAACGGGCTGGGGGCCTCGGGAGCAGGAAATGGTAGTGGGGCATCCGGCGCTGCAGGTGGCTACAATACAACGCCTGCAACTCACAACGGCATGGGCCAGCAACAGGCAAAGAACCGAGTCGGTGGCCGCGGCCTTCAGCAACACCCAGTACGAGCCACCTTTAAGAGCTTTATGTTAAAGGCTTCAGGCAATAGGCTTATCAAGTATTCTTCGTAGCCAAATAGTACTGGCACTCAATGACCTTGACACTTTATTTAACCAAACTTCTCCTTTGAGAGAGAACGAAGTTTTTACATCAGGTTATCACTAGTTACGTTTCTCACCGGTTCCAATATTGAATCTCTATTTTATCCATTGTAAAGTTCGTAATGCGTAACTGTTTCAAATGGTTTAAGACATACAGTTGATTAGTAGATTTTTATTTTCGCAGTACTAACTTCTTTTGTTTGCTTTTTTCTCCATTCAGGATGGCTCGCTACGGCAAGGTCACGGTCTTCTACCCGAAAGCCTCATCTGGACATACGTTGTACAACTTAGTTCGGCTTTACGCACCGTTCATGCCGCCAATCTTGCCATCAGATGCCTCGATCCCAGCAAGGTGAACGCACCGTAACTATTTTTATAGTGAAGGTTTCGATTCGCGAAACAGAACAAGGATGATGGAGAGAAGATTGACTATTCTTCGATATCCACATTTGAATAGATTATAATCAATGAGGACTTTTCCCTCAAATGCAGCCTCGATCCGGATAGCACCTCTTCGGTTTTCCACAAAAAGCTTGTAACAGCTCCGGCTGTGTTTCTTCATGCTGTGCTGCACTTAGATTATGAATTGTATCTCATTGTTCTTATCATTCACTTGTTAAACACGTACATTGACAAATCCCAAGCTGACAATTAAAACTCCTTAGCCCGAGAGCCGATTAGTGTGTTATCATTGAGAATATTACGTTCCATCACATCGTGTATCATCTTCGTCAAAGAGGATCATTAGATGTAACCAACAAGGATTTAGAAAAAGCAGATCTATGCAGCTAGCGCATATGGAAGGGGAGTTGGGGATTGCATTGAAATAGCCGATAAAGGTTTCCAGTTTCTGAGGCATTTGACGAATGTTCCATCGTGGTTTTTCAAACTTGTACAAACTTAAAATCAATTGCAAAAACTTAGCTTGAATATGTGCTTAATCCATATACAGTACTGAGTATATCCGGGCGTTGAATGTGTAGCATGATTTTCCTTTATTTATTATTAAGGAAGTGTTATAATACATAGCGATTTAGTTGTCCTTGAGTCTTTCTATTGTTCTGATATATGGCGTTCGTATCCTAAAGAAAACATCGACGCAGGCAAAAAATTAGAGCAAAATTCGATATATTCAGGGACCTAGAAAATCTTAGTATGGTAACTAGACCATTTTCAAGCTCTGCAAAATAACAACCTACGGAATGACAAAACAATAAAAGTTATCAAAGCTACACGCACCAAGCTGGTTTTAACGAGGGTTTTACGTGCAGCTTAGCGCGTTTACCAAAATAACTTTCTTATAGTTAGAATTTATAGTAATAATAATAGCAGATATATCGCAAGCTGCATATTTATTCTACACAACTACATATAAATACACAATAGATTTTTACGCTGTTCATTTTAATATTATATATTTAAATAACTAGTGTTCCCATTTTCATTTGAATTTACTTTTGTTACATTTATGTAGGATTTTTTTGAGCACTAATGAAACTTATTCTGACATGATTTTTCATATACCTCTGCCCCTTGGGGTATTTCAGGTACTGCTAAGCTCGGCGGGTAAGTCCCGCTTACGGCTGAATTGTGCTGCCATTGTAGACGTGATCACATTGGATTCTGCACAAGCTGGCGGCGGAGCTGGAAACCAGCGGACCGCAGCAATGGTACATTGTTATCAGAAAGAAGACCTAGCTCACCTAGGCAGACTTATACTCTGCCTGGCGTGTAATTCGTCCTCTGCGTATCAGTTTGTGGAATCGTCAATGGAGTTGGTGACTAAGAATTATTCATCTGATCTGCGCAATCTGCTTGTGCTACTACTTAGCATGCCGCCACGAGTGTCTTCAATCAACGACGTTATGCCAATGATTGGAGCACGTTTCTACACGCAACTGGACGCTGCGCAAATGCGTGGCGACGTCCTTGAAGCCGAGTTGGCGAAAGAGGTTGATAGTAGCCGCTTGTTCCGCCTACTTGTCAAGCTTGGCGCGATCAACGAACGGCCAGAACTTAATATTGATACGACGTGGAGTGAAACTGGCGACCGTTATATGTTGAAGCTCTTCCGCGACTTTCTTTTCCACCAGTGCACAAAGGAGGGCCAACCCTGGCTAGATATGGCCCATGTTGTGCAGTGCCTAAACAAGCTTGACGCTGGTGTAGAGGACAAAATCTGTCTGGTTTCACGCGACGAACAGAACGTCCTCGTTGTGAGCTACGCCGAATTAAAGCGCTGTATTGAATCGGCATTTCGCGAAATCTATGATAAGATGCAGTAAGCAATGTAAAAACAGAGGAAGGTTGGGTTGAACGGTAGGGTTTAGAAACGAGCTGAGGGACGGTCGACAGAACAAGCACATTAGTTTACGTTTTGTTGCGTATCTCGTATGGGGGAGTTATGTTGCCCCAATAGGTAATGTACTCGTCTAGATGATAATACAAAAGTAGGGGAGTGACAGGTGTGTATTTTGGTGTATTAATAATTTTATTATAATCATTGCGTACATAATAATAACAACAAGCGGGAAAAATGGAAATATAGGAGTGCGTGACAGAGCTTGAAAACTTTGCCTCTTCAGTAATTGGTCCTACGACAGGGACGCGACAGCTGGTCGCAGGCCGTAATAGTTTCTGCAGGGTCTCCGCTTCGCGCTCATTCAAGAGCGATACTGTGTATTTGAAAGAAGGAGGTCCGACATGTTGAATGAATGGCGACTGAGCGAAGACAGGAGTTCGCAAAAGAAGTGGAAGGTCATTTAACTCGGCGTACAAACTACTTACACATATGCGGTTTCTGAGAGACAGGTGAGAGGCGTTTTAGTAATGATAATAGCATAGAATATATATGTATACTAATAGCTCTGTAAATGGAGTATAATATTGAAGATAATAAGACTTTCAATGGTTTGGGTTTTCTTGAAAGATAAAAAAAGACAAAGCAGGAGGCGTAACAAACAACGTACACTTATATAGATACTCATAGTGGATATAGAGTTATTACGAGATTACATGTATACGAAGCATTACGACAAAATTGATGGAATTATTAAAGGTCATCGATGTAGAAGTTGTGGTGAGTGATGATTATAAATACGACGATTTAAGCGGTTACTATAAACAATGATCACCAAAGTAACGGTCGCAGACTCAAAGTTATGTAAAAGCAAACAAAGTCATTGAAGGATGGCAGTGTATAAAAGCGTGTACGTACTTGAAGAACGATATATGGATAATGTGAATTACCTATTGATGATGAGCGGATAAATGGTTAGGTGGGGGAGTGGATAAAACGGTGTCACGAGAAAGTTATCGTGGTCGGAAAAGACATACCTTAAACGTCTGTAAACAACGTTACCGGAATGGGTGTCTAATTGTGTAAGGCAGAAACGAATAAGGATAGAAATAACAAAAATTGAATGTCATTTATTGAACAATTGAGCGCAGAAAATGCAATCAATGTGCCAAGATGTGTGTGTATAATTCATGTGGCGCATCCAGATAAGGTGCAAGGACCTTTTCGACAGATTGCATTTGAAAAGACCAGCACCACACGCCGATTGTGTTCAGCTTATATATATATATATATATATATATATATATATATATATATATATATATATATATATAAAGATGATGGAAAGAAATAAAAAAGCAAAAATTTCGCTCACTGTAGTGCGAACACTATTTGCCGAACTGATTGGCAAATATTTCACTTCTTGTATAGAGGAAAATGGAAGAAATCCGATCCAGGGTAGGGCATAAGGTATTGATACAGGGCGAATTAGTGACCCAAAGAGTTGACCCTATAAAAAAAAGAATGTTGAGAGGATGAACGAGAATCCAATAGAAATATCAATAGTGATAACTAGATAACAGCGATGGCAAAACTACCGATGGTCTTCACCATTCTTATTTTAAAATCTAACATTATGAGGTAAGTTTTTTATTATTGCCGACGGGGCCAATATGTGTTTTATCCCGAGGCAAATGCTGGCACTATGAAAAAAGCACCTGCCAACGCAAAAATTACCGAAAATAGCATGCTAGTATAGTATAGAAAATCAAATGCGAGCGAACGCTTGTCAAGCTTGAAAAAAATGTCTTTATAGAACGACGGACGATGAGACTAAGGCAGGACGACACCACTGGCTATAGGTAGGGGGGATGGAGTAGGTACGTTACAGTAAATTCCGGCAACAACTATCGCAAATAAAGAAAACATAGAGCGATTTTAAATTTTTACTCCGAACGTCGTCTGCTGACATCTGTGTGTGTATGGAGAAACGTTAAATTGTATGTACATGTGTATCATTGTAATATGATTATTGTAGAGATTAAAACAGGTGAGTAAAGGATAATTGCGAGAAATATGGATATAAAGAGGGAAGGTGAAAACGAAATATCGTGGATAAAAAATGATAAAATCGAAAAGTGAAAATGAAAGGAATGAAAAAATTGTCAATAATGTGAGAAACTCAATGTCGGGAATAGGAAAAATACCGCAGAAAATGCAAATGAAGAAACTAGAGGAGACGCGAATAAAGTTTATCTTTTTATTAAATCAGTAAAACAAATAAAGAATGGCATATGTTTTTCCGTCGTTTACCAAGTTGCATGTGGAAGAGACCAATAGGAAAGACGCGTGATTAGATACCGTTTCTTTTTTGTCACTTCTAGAATATGCAGGGTAAGGAAAAAGTCTATTGACGGCTTAAAAAATGCATTTCACAGTTTGGAAGTCTTGATTTTCCATCTGGTAAAATAGTAAGAGGGTAAAATGCAATAAAAGAAAAAACTCTCAAACTGTTAAGTGACTGTGAAAACCTGCATCGTACAATAGCGCTACTAAGCATGGCTATTTACCAAAACATCCAGCTAAGCGGTCGCCATAACTCCGTGGGTAGGATAATGAGATAAAGACGAGCATTTTACTTTGGTCCAAAGATTTCTAGCTTAAAAAAAATAAAACTTAGCATCGCTGCAATACCTAACAAGTGATCATAAAATGAGACATGAAAAGGACCGATATTACAAGTTAGTACTTGAACCTAACAAAACGGCTGAATGACAGACAGGTCTTCAAAAGCAAATAGTATTTGGCACACATATGGACGTAAAAGAATATCGGATATCTTCTGGGTCCAGGCTTGTGGGGTAAAAGATTACTAAGGTTTTGAGACAATTTGTCTTATTTTTTCTTTCCGGCGACTTGTAGATAAAGTTGAGCATTTTATAAGCATAGAGCCGTATAAGAAAGTGCTTGGAATATGATATAAAAGTTGCGCATTTTTTGGTTAAATCACAGCACATTATGTACAAGTTTTATTATCAACAAGTGGCGCTATGTTATATAATATTTTTAAATGCAACAGCAGTTACGTCTATTTTATTTAACTCGATGATAGTCCTTCGTTAGAGATCGATCCGTTCTGCTTTATGGTTAGATGGATCTTGCTAGATTCTATCTAACATCAGCGCTGCTTACAGGTATTTGGAAACCTCAAGAAAAGTAATGATTATAATATTATATCTGCAACAGAAAAAAGTAGTCCCATTCGACAGGCCATTATGATATATTCATAATGCGCTGTTTATCTGAACACGTATATTTTTTGAGCTCGGTTGAATGAACTGTTAAAACTAAACTATACATACCTACATTATTGTGAGACGGGGCTCAATAACAAAAGGAAATAGCATTTATACGCCAGGTTTAAGTCCACTTGTTCCAGTCTGCCAACGCCTTCGCTTATGTCTTTCCGAATGGCCAATAGTTAGCAGTACCTACGTATTGCCATTCGACTATGTGTTAGCTCGGCTGGATTTAGATGCTTTTTGCTTACTTGCGTTTTGACTACGGAACATGACGCGAGTAAATGACAGTGTTTGTTATGCACGTATCATTGTATTCGTCTCGTTCGTAGTTGTGACGTAGATAAATTATGACATCATAGCCAACATGTGTTGGAATCATAAATAAAGTTAAAAATAGAAATTTCATAATAGAACGCACAGTCTCACTCTTCTTGGTGCTACTGACATTGGCCGTTTACGTGATGTAGGAACCCAACCGGAAAGATAAAAGCATCGCAGGGCCTTAGGACAAAAGTGATCATTGAAGTACTATCGATCTCAACGTATAAGCTGTAACAGAAGCACGAGTTTTTCTTCGATTTATTTGCCGTTTTTATCTAGATGCTACGCATGTTTCTGAAAATGATACAACTGTAAAGTTTTTTTTCACAGAGCATTGATACTGTTAAACGTACTGCTATAACCATACACGCATAACAATCTTTATTTAACCTTACATTTAGGCCTGTATATATCGATGCCGATTGCAGTGATCTTAAATACGCGACTGTTGTCGAATAGAGCTATGCAAAAGACGCAAACAAAAAGCTTAGTTACTGTGGCAGAATTTCTTTCAAAACCTCTTACTTACTTAAGCTTATTCAGTTTTAGGTAGAGGAGCTAATAGATTGTTGATAACTACCGTGCTCACCTCCAGCAGTTGAATTGCTTAGGCCTAAGCTAAGGATACTTGAACGTTTTCGTTTTTGGTCGCAAATGTTCGAGGTACAAAATTATGTTTGAGCAAATGCACGTAGATTAGCTCAATATAGGCGGTAGTAAACCATTTGAATTAGCTAGCGCTACATTTTCAACGAAACCTTAAATAGCGGCCCTAGTAAAGACATCGAGATTCAAGATATGAAGACCGCTTGGTCGCTTCAGAAATTACACTTAAAAACACGAATATTTTACCATTTAATAATTGTATTACTCATACAAACAAAACAAAGTTCCGTACGGAGAGCTATTATTTAGGGGGATTATATCTGTGTTGATTTCCTTTATTTCAAGTTGAAATAAATAGATTTTCTTTTGCATGGTGATTCCCGTATATTGTACTAATCTACATTTGATTACAGGTACAGTGATATTTGGGTAAGCTAAAGTGATCCAAGGTGAAACTGTTACTTACTTAAAAAATCCGACTTATCATTCCTTGTTGCGTACTTTGGACATTGTACCAATGAATTGATGTACACTGCATCAGGCTAGCTTAGGGGCGAAACAGCCCAAACACAGAGAGTACGCATCTACCATTTAGCTTAAACTTGCTCACTGTTTTCACAAGGCTCTTTTTATATCCCCTTAGAGTAGATGCGTACTACCTTAGCTGTATTGTTAGGACGTGTTGATTAGTAATAAAAAGTACGCTCGTACTTACGCAACCTACAGATATCCCTCTCCGCATCTTCCTCACTTAACTACCCGATTAGATTCTAACACTAGAAATTTAGCATAACTAATCATAGTCAATGTAGGCGTTAAAATAATAGTATCTTGAAAAATGACCTCAAGTGAATCTTTATTTAGTAAAGGTATGCTGATGCCATATAGAAATGCTCCTATAGCCAACTTCTCTACCTTGACACTTTTAAAACATTTACTTTAGCTATAGTAAGATAAATCACACCTTTATGAAGCTGCTAGAAGTATAACAATGGATTCCCAACTGTTTTGAACTTGTGGAGCTTGAGGGTGAACAATTAGCCCCTGGTCGATTCTATCTATCCCCTGCCGTGAACCGTAACGAGTCATAACGGTCGGCTTGATCAAAGATCTCATTGATGCATTTAGACATTTACTGCCTAATTCTATGATTTCCAAGACATTGCACTCCCGCAATCCACCCCTGTGCAAACAAAAAAAATCTAGTCGTCGTCAAGCGCTTAGCCATTTGTCGACTTCCTTACAATCTATCGACTTGAAGCAAGACTCCGTTGAACGAACACGATATACGCAGCGAAAATAAAAACAAAAGACAGAAATCGTTTCCGTTGCTTGGGGATGCTTTACTACTCTACTATTACTCTTCTTTCAATAAACTACTATAAAAAAATAAGTACGGTGATTTGCTATTAACCACGCTGGCTGATCGACAATGATGCTTCGAATCGAAATCAGTCTGGTACATTGAACCTGTAGTTCTAATAAGGGGAATCGGTTTTGTTCTACATTTAATCACGTATAATCTTAGCTTATTATTTGATTTAATAAAGCTAGTACAACACAACTATAATCGGGGAATCCGCTGTACTGGTCCGCTAACACTAAATAAATGGCTAACAATTAACAGTTTGGCCTGCTAGTGTTGCTTATTTCTAACCCAATTTAAGATACACATTGCCAATAACAAAACATTATTTCGCTGTGTCGATAGGGATTACGCCTTTTATGTCACCTATGTCAGGCCATGTAGACTTAACACGTACTGTATGCGCTTTATGGCTACGACAGCGCGTGCTGTTGAACAACGACAGCGAGTGTAGGACAGGTAATACAAGAATTATTTCATGTATAAATGAAAACTTTGTTGCTAATTGTCCATGTTGCGTGAAATGTATGACTTAACAAAGGATTGATACACAGATTTGACGGTTCGTGACGTCCTCAAAATGTTTTCTTCTCATTAAATATGGAATTTTTTTTAAATATATTTGGATGTAACGAAACGCATATAAGCACGATAATATTTACAGCAATATTGCAATCCTATCTATAAATAATCTATCTTCATTTTCATTCAAGTTAGCTTCATTAAATTTGTTTTAGGGAAACCGGGGCGACTTGTATAAGTCTTGATTTTACGACAACCCTACTGGAATACTTACAAAATAATATTGCGGTAACTAACTAAGTTAACCTTTGGCTGTTGTCAAAAGGCTTAAAGGGAAGATAACACTAAAAAATCGTTAAGCTAAATTTGTAGAGTAAATTTTGTAGACAGTCCATAATCATTTCAAGAAGATTAACTCATCTTCGCTTTCGTAGTCCTTTACATCGATGTTATTTTTACGAGAATGGACGTGGTCGCCGGATTGGCCAGTTTGGTAAATTTTTGCTGAACGCCTTTACCTTTTACCAAGGATTCACCTCTTTTTTTGAACGCTATTTAGCACGCCCTTATCATCGCACCGTAAATCGTAGCGATTTCTCTTCAAATTAGACTCTGTTTTTCGTTTGACCACTGCACACGTTAGGGGTGACGGCTGTACCGAAACGTTGCTAGGGGGAAACTGTACATAGGTAACAGGATTGACAAGAATCAAAATAGCTGGAAAGCTACTCCGGGCTAATTCGAAATACATAAACCCGGGACTCCTGTTCGATAAGCAGGGTAAGGCTGGCGCGAGCATCAACGCAGGCATCGTGTTTATGTAAGTTTTCCTATCGGGGTTAAAAAGACAGTTGTATGTTTCTGTATGCTGAGTTAGACGCACACCGTTTCGGCTGCATCAGTATGCTCACCTGTGACAAATGTTTAAGAACCGCTGCCCAGTTCCAAAATCATGCATAGGGGTGTTACACGGGAAGGGCAGAGTCATAAGAGATGAAGTTACCGCGTCGGTTCCAATAGCGCAAAACGGCGATGATATACTCTTCGTAGGCAGTGATAGACTTTGGATAGGCACAAATCCATGGGGACCTGGTGCTGGCGCAAAAGTCTATGAAAGGATGTTGGCGGCAAACGGGAAAATAGGACTTCTGCTCACAGATGGAGGTGAGTCGAAAATATCTGGTAACACCCCATTACTGAAGCTGTAAGCATCACAGTGTCAATGTACAAGATATTGGATAGTTATCGTGAGTCTCGCATCTACAAACTGTACCTCACAAGTAACATTCGTGTAGACCACGTAATTTTGATCAATTTATGTTGTTTTTTACTCTCGTAAAATCAGTTAAGTTGTATAACTCCGTATTGGCTAAAGCCCAACGATACATAGAAGCCATCAGTGCAATTTATAATTTTATCAGTTAGAAAATTGAAAGGAATCAGCCCACTTGTGTTTGGTGGCTATCCTTGCGGTACGGCCATTGTAGTAGTTGCTGTATCCCGATAGAGCTCAGTGACAAAACTGACGTTGGAGGCCCAATTGTATTGAATGTTAGAGTCCAAACCCTGGTCATTGGCCACATTTCCGGGTGGGATTAAGCGAATAGTCGCATGTCGCTTTCATGTCGTAGATTGGCCTGGACTCGGAAGTGTGCTTTCTACCGAGTAGCCAGCCGTCGGATTCAATACATCACCCACAACACCTGCAACAAATATGAGTTGATCATTTGTGGACGTGGCAGTATCGGCGTCGTTCAACGAAACCGTGATAACTTCGCGACGAGAAAGCTGAGTCGACGAGATGTTATGGGGCGGTTTACCGAGTCGTTTGACCTTTGAGAGCTGGTTATTTGCACATAAATGAATAAGCAATCGTTAAAGAGTAAAATTTAAAGATGCAAGTTGGTAAAGAGTTGTGACAAGACAGATATGTAAGTAACTCAAATGCAACGACATTTTATAAAACAGTATTATCTCTTCAAAATATGGAAACCCGTTTGTGCAGAACTTATTTTTTACACACCGATCAAAATGCGATGAGCAAATCAACTTGTGTCGATCCGTCTGAATGGCATGCTTACGCGCTACTAAAAGACCTTAATAAGATTTTTTTGAAGAAATATACTTTAAACACTATCATAAGCGTACTTCAACATATCGCTTACAAGGCTTATGTAGCGGACTCAAGTCACTAACCTCCAAGCGCGTGATTTTTCCATCCATTATGGTGCTTCAACAGGCAAATTGTTTTTACGTGTTTCACATCCGGTACTTAAGCTTAAACGGATTCGAACCGAAACCACCACTTGTTTCTAAATTTAACAGACAAAGAAGCTACGAATTATAACGTGGATGCCTCATTAACTAAGCCCGCGTAATGCGCAGGGCAAAATTTATGAAACACCTATGCCTAATATTCTCATTGAGATCACAAAAACTTGCTAAAGAAAACAGGAAATAATACAAAATCGCCTATAACTCTAATTCGCTTATGAGACCAGAAACGCTTCACGTGTTTAAGTGAAGCTTGGTTGTTTTTAAGAATTCCTGATTCACTTAACAAGGAATGGAAGCTCGCTGGCGAAGGCCGTTGCTTTTGTGTCTCTCTGGGAATTGAAATGAAATCTGTAAATCCAGATCGTCACAGAAAGTTGTGGGCATGATTAAACACCTCCGTAAACATTCAATAAAATCACACGCCCCCAACAGATTACCTCAAGTTCAGATAATGCGTTAGCTATATTCTGATAACAAACAACCTTTGAATGATCCCGAAGCAGCTTGCGAATTAATTGCTTTTCAAGATTAGTTAAACCTAAATATTGTTATTCACACCTTAGCAATCTGAGAAAATTAGAGACTGGCCAAACCGGAGAAAAAAATTAACTAAAATATATTGATGATGCAAAATATTCTGTGATATTGGGCAAGTTATATTGCATATCTGTAATGTAATGTCGCATATTGTATATTCTTTTTTGCATTTACGAAAAGAAAAAAAGCTATTGCAGTGAAAGCATCGTCATGAAGATGAGATTTTTTCAACATGCTCAGACAGATCGCCCTTTTGTACCAAGCTTTTATGCCTATATTCTTATATATGCGTCGTCTATCGTGGTACACGCCTTGTTATTGAATCTATTGCGAGTCACATAGCGAGGTTCCTGATACTGAAGACGACGAAGTCCATTTCAGTATCACCACCAGGAACGGCATCTGTTGACATAATGTCACAGTAGCGTTCGGCCTTTTTCATTGCGTACGCGGGAAGCTTTCGGCGTTCGCTGCTGCTTACATCCTTTTGAAGTTTCTGACACAGGCAAGCTTCACCAGGACACAGAAAGAACAGTAGTCGACAGGTATTGCATGAAGGTTTGCCACACAACGACTCCAGATATACATGTGTCTTGCATGACAATTGCACCTCCTCGGCCGAAACCGTGAGAGTGAGTTGCCATCGGCCGGAACGTGATACCGATGTAACCTTTTGGAAATATGCGTAAAGAATGTGGTAACAAGTACAAATATAAATATGGCTGTTTTTTTTTTCGCAAGTATCTTGCTTTGTGTGGTTCATACTAAATATAAATCCACTAATTGTCACTATCGGTACGTTATGTAGAAAATCTAGCTACAGAACGTACGTTTTTTCCTCGTTGTTCCAGGTAGTCACTAAGTTGTTGCAGATTACTGCTTACACGTTTACGATTGTTTTGCTTGAGCTGCACTCGGTACATTTAAACTATTGACTTACATGTCCTAAACATAGTTCATTCACTTTTGAGTGACGAGGTAAACTTTAATGCATTTTTAACTGTAATTGGGCAATATCCCTGCCAATCGGCCAACGCATCTCGCTAATACAGATCAATACTCAGTCCAGTCTGACTTGGTGCACAATTATCGTTCGTTAATAACTGATGTTCAGAATTTCAAATTCCCTGTACGTAGCACCTGTGTAGGTAGGATAGGTAGCAGTAGGCCACATTTTAATTACGTCCATGTGATCGGAACGTTGAAGATGGGCATCAATCATGGCCAACTGGTAAGGAAAGAGAACAACTGTTTTGAGGTCAACGTGCCCCTTTTGCGCCTTGTAAAAGTCAATCTCCTTTTTCATTGCCTTAGGTTTGCAGTCCTCGATATCAAATCACGAAAAAATATATATTAAGCTTATAATAACGAAGGAAAAATATATAATAAGCTTATATAAGCTAAGACAGACGACGTGAACTCATTTAACGAGAAATAAAAAAAAAATGACAATAGGTTTTAGTGTAAATATTGTCACTCAATAAAGTTGAAATTTCTCGGACAAATGACTTTTCTTCAGGAAAACAATAATAAAAGATAAAAAAAAATTAGTCGTAAAATTAGTCGAGAGAGTTAATAACACTCACATAGGATTGGATCAACGAACCCCTTGGACGATGGACTAGGTTTGATGTTTTTCGTTCGTCTTGACTATATCTAAGTATTAAACCAATAAGTTAAAGACAGTGCTACTATTAACAAACGTACAAAACGCAACTTACTTTAGGTACAAAATGGTAAATGAAATGAAGCTCATGTACTGAATACCAACGAAGAACATACATAATGTAAACGACGCATACGAGTTCGCTCTACTCAATGCATGCTTCGATTTTGAACGGACTTTGCCTACATTTGAATCTACCAAATCATAGAGGCAGGCATCCAAAATGCTGAATTGGGCAAACAAACGATCCACCATAACCGGGCTAATGTAATCATCATATCAATACGACGCAGAAACCGACTTCGCGCCCCAGCGTCGGCCCGTTCCCATGGCACATATTTGACGTCTGCTATAGTCTATTGTCAAATGTGTACACAGATGTTCCACGTAGCTGGCATTAGGAGGGAATTTTGAAACATTCTCAGTAGTAGGGGCAGTTCTATTAAATTACCTTCACTAGCTTTCTTCTTTGTAATCTGCACTGTGTGGATACTGCGCTTGTTCAAAAGAATAATTTCATGCCGTATGATTAAATAATTTAATTATAGAAATGACGATCATCCGTATTCTAAATAAATGAAAACCTTAGACGAAATTTGAATACATAGAACAATCGAAAGTTATCACAAAACATAACGGGATAGTACAGATATCACCCAGGTAAATAATATAACCCAAGTAAATTGAATGGAAGAGAACCTTAAGATAAACAGCGCATAAGTATTCATAACGATTTACAGGGAAGTAAGTACTCTGTTGTGGCCCCAACCTATTTCGAGCCCACTTCATTTTGTCACCTCCAGAAAGGACAAGCTATCGGGCATTGACTCTAACTAGGGATTACTTATAGATTTCTTTGTGTTTTAATACTAAATCGTAAGTACACATACTTCGAAAGCAGGTAACATGTAGCTATAGTAAGGACAAGCGTTCCTATTTCATTTATCCTTATTAGTCAAGGCGTCTTTAAAGGCTCCACTCAGGTAAATGATAAGGACAGACGATTCGAGTAACATAAATCGAGTGTGTTTACCGTACAGTTTTATAAATTATTCATGAGGTATAAAATATACCTCCATCAGAGAAGTTCTACGCATATGAAATGAAGCAAATCTTTCAGCCCAGCTTACCAGAAATTATGAAGTTACCAAGCCAACTTCAATTACTATCAAATTCTTATTTATTCATGTTCATTAGTAGTGATCAAAAGCTTCATACAAACTTCGTAAGTAAAGGTCAACAACACAATATCCTAATATTCGAGAAGGCATATAGAAATATTCAAAAATAGGTTGCGTCATATGAGCTATATGGTCTTGCTGAGTTCTTAAGGCTAGTTTGAAAGACTTGCCAGACGTCCTAAAGGTGGTACAAAGGAGGTATCGAATGGCATGGCATATATCACAGTTTTTCACGCACGTGGAGTATTTACACGCATCGTCGGGTCTGTGTCCAGAGCTTCTGGTGGAAGCCATACATAGCAAAATGAGTAACGACGTGTCTGTTTAGCCGGTTCGTCCCTCTTGAAGTAAAGAACTCTCCATCAACCCTCGCGAATTTCCGCTCTCTATTCCTAAGATTTCTCTTCAAAAACGTTCGTTGCTGGAAGCTCAAAGCGATGACGTAGATCATCAAACATAAGGAGATACGCGAGGCGATTTGGGGTTACTATGTGTAGCTTCAATGCTTTTTTAAAGAGGAAATTTGACACGTAATAGTTGTTTAAGGTTCGCCACTATAAAATCTACCCATATGACGCGTATTGTATACGCTGCGGTTGAAGCTACTTTGAGACCCTATAAGTTGAGAAAGGTTACGAAAGACGAGCGATGAGGTGATTTGGTCGCCCATCTTGCATCTTTCGGTGACGTGGGTAGTAAAACTCCTGCTGTTCGTAGGTAAGAACAACCCCCAGACACGGAAACCGCTTTACATAGGCAAGAGGAAATCTGGCGAGCTACAGAGTGTCATTGGCCGCCATCTTGTTTCTTCTTCTGACTTTATCGCCTCTATGTTGATTAGGTTTACGGTCGGTCCCAAGTCTGTGGCTGCTGCGCTAAGCCGGACTAAATCTTTCTATACTTATAACCTGTTCGATCTGTATATCATTAGGTCATCTGCATACAAGATGATTCCGACTAATTTTTTGGCTCTTTTAATTGATCAGGAAGATCCTCCAGCAAAACGAAGAATAAGAGTGAGCCTAGGTTCTCTCCCTGAACCAGACTCGCCCATTCCGCCATCAATAGTTATTGCGGTATAGGACCGCAGCCAAAAGGTTAAGCACATTTGTAGGAATACTCACCGCAGCCAACCTGAGCAGAACCTCGCCCCCTGGATACCGTGATGATGAAGATTTCTTTAAAGTTGAAGAACACTACGTATAGCGAATTGCTCGGCCGTGGCTAGTAGTCTCTTGACATCATCAGCCAACAGGATCTTCCACATATTCTTTTGTAGTATGTGGCTTCGCTGAGAGGATATGTATGTTTCTTAAATAGCTATTCTATCTCTTTGCTAACCTGGAGAATAGCTCATAGCCAGCACTTTTCATTGCCATTCCCCGTCATAGTAACACCGCGTAGTGTCGTTTCTTTTTTGGGATCACTGATTGGATAGCATCTCCCCACTGGGCTGGGAGTGTACCAGTATGTAAACGTTGAACAGGCTGGTCGAAGCGAGCATTCAAACCGCCGGCAGTGGTCATGGGAGAGGCAGAAGCAGAAAGAGAATAGAGTGCTTCAAGACTATGGACAAGTTTTTCGACCACCACGTACGTTGATTTCAAATCGACCAGCCGAGCATAGGCTGCTACGAGACGCTGTCGCGGTTCGCGCAAGGTAACGACGTTATTCTCTGCCAGCCATGACATTAGGTCGTCTATTTCATTATTGCAGAAAACACACATATGCCTCCACAGGGCCAGCTGCCAGGCCGCCGTTTCTCTTTATTGCAGGGTCGTGCACAGAATAGAAATGCGGTATATGACAAGGAATAGCTTGCCAGGTTTCAGCTAACACGAGGATGGCTACACTGTCTAGGCTTCCGAAAAGAGAAACGCCAGATCTAATCCCTTCACAGTTTCGCAGTGTAATTGATAGCGTTTGCAACCCTATTGCGTTGTAGAAACCGTAGAAGCTGGTATATTTTGTAAAATTTGAGCTCTTTGGAGCAATATCTGCCCAAAACGATACAGCAACTAGTATGGGATTGCCACAGAGGCACTAAAATTTGCCTCTTAGTCCAAGGATTGGCACACAACCCAATAAAAGTTTCTTCGTCTGACAACTGTGGCGCTTGTGCTGTGATCTAATAATGAGGTTGAGCAGTGAGTTACAAAACAATATGTACCAGGGGTTGTTGGCCGTTTTTACAGCTCGTCTATGCCATTTGACCGAAAGTCCACATAACAACATTTGTTGTACAGTGACGTCATGCTAACCCATATTAATATAGAGAACTAATGGCTGTCATGCCTGTTAGCCATTTGAATCTGCTCGGAACGCAAGGATAATCTTCGTATGAATATCGCCGAAATCTGAAGACGACTCTGTATTGTGATACTTGCGGCTCGCTATCAGTAATGTTTCTCCCCTTACTAGGTTTTGTTTCAAAATAAAGGCTTAAATTTCGCCTGTTCCTGTTCCTTTCGAGAAGGTTTATCTTGATAGTTAGAAAAGTTACTTCAGCGAATTAGCTTTAATGATATACTCAGTCTGAGGTTGGCCTTTCAAACGCTTGAGTTTTTCGTGTAATGGCATGGGCACGCGGTAATGTGCTAAGGTACTGTGCACGCCGTAATATCTTTTTTTAGCGGCTATGAGTAACGCTCCAGCGCGTGCTGCTCTACGTAATCGGCACGCAGGCGAACCACAGACTATAGTCAGAGTTAGTGTTACGGAATTGATCCTTTTTAACTAGATGACTGACTGGCGTGGTATCAGAGCCGCTGTAGTAGTGATGACGAAAAGCAGCATGAAACCTCAGCTGCTTGAATGCGTAAGTTTACCGATATGTAATATTATTTGCTATGAAAATTACCTGACGTATTTTGTCTCAAGGATACGAAAACCAAAATAAATGCTTCAAATCTTGGGCCCAGTGTATTGGTCCAAAGGTCTAAGTTCCAGCGTGAAGCGATATAGACATTAAACAACAACCTAATCAACTCCTAAACAGCATTGAATAATGTAACAACTTAGTTGTTAATGTTTGCATACGATTTTTCATAATTCGCTACTTCCATTTAGTGTCCCAGTACGCAATGCGTGTTCTTCAAGCGGCACTGTTCGTTGCTATCGCGCAGTTCGTCTTTTTTTTTTTTTAGTTTTGAAGTTTTTTTAGTTTTGAGTTTTAAAACAAACACATTGTATTTGGCTGCTGAAGTTAGAAACACGTGAGGTGGCCTAGCTACGGAATCGGGTCTTAACATACTTCATTTTTCTCTAAGAATTAGCCGGTCGGAAGGAAAGTTTGACGGTAGCATTTGACGCAAAGCTCGATAAATATATTCACTTTATTAACATACTTACTATTAAGTTCCCGGATACAAATTGTGCATTTCCGTCTCCTTTAAATCTCCTTTAAAACCGCTGGCTTTATAGCTTGGTAGCTACCTACCCGTAGCTGCGATGGTAAGCCAAAAACAAGCACAAGCCGTATAGGAGTGTTCTACCCACTGTTTTTTTAGCACTTCTATTGACCGTGACTTACTCTCTGTAATGAAATATTTTAAGAAGTTATAATAGTTAAGCGTAATATTAAATATAATATCAATATAAATATTACTAGCAACTAAGAAGAAGTGATTTAATTAAATTTAATTCAAGGAAAAATATTAGTGCTAAAAAATAACACGACAGATAGTAGTCGTCGAAGGTCATATTCTAATTTTGATTTTGGGCGAATAACTATGAAAAAAAAAAATACAATAAAATCTTCGTACCACTGTGGCGTTTTGGCGCGCTGTTCGTAAACGCTTATCATAGCATCGTTAATTTATTCATTGTTATGTCCGATACAGTCCTCATCCTTCATAGTAGACCCGTTTCACCGCATTAATAAGGATTGCCTTGGCAAAAGCCCGGTCTGTACACAGACAAATCGGAACTAGCAGATTGCGGCGAAGTCCTGCATGGAGTGTTCAGTATTTCGAACAACTGCGAACGCAGTCAAGCATTCCGATAGGGAAAAACGCAGTCACGCCGCTACGCGTATGAGCAATCGGTTATTTAACGACCTGATACCATACCTCCGCCATCTATCCAACATAACTTACA